CGGCAACTCCTCGTACGAGCCATCATCTCCTTCTTCGCGAGCTAGGCCATCTCCGTCACCCAATTGAGCGCGAGGAGTTGCATCGAGCTCGTGCGATCCGTGGACAGGATCTTTGACAGTTTTGGGACCCCTTGGGAGACCAGCGCTAACGCGCTTGGCGTACTCCTTGGCTTCGTGTCCTCCTGCAACTTGGGAGCTGGCGTCTGACTCCCACTCGATATCTGGGTCAGGCGTATTCTCAGGGCAGTAACGAGTATCGTGTCCCTTTTCTGAAGCAAGTCATTAGCTAAGAAAAGGTCACAGGAATAAAAGGGTCTTACGGGTACATCGATTGCACTTCGGAATAGTGCGCTTGATGCGTGGAATAGCTGCTGCGTCGATCCCGACATCCCAATCAGAGCTAGATGATTGAGAGCTATCGTCGGAGTCGGCAGTGGATGGTCGAGATCCGTGATCGGTGGTAAGGGCTGGTGTTTGGGGGACGCTTGTTGGAGAGATAGCTTTGGCTGCAGTGACATCATGGTGAATCTCTTCTTCATCATTGTCCTCGAGGGTTTCTCCGAATTCATCGTCGGTAGGAGCTTCAAACTCGACAAGAGTTTGGTCGGGAGCAAAGCGCGCCGTGCATGACTCGGGCAACTCGTGACGCATAGAGACACCCAGCCAGTAGGCGTCGAATCTTGGAGAGGCGAGCACCTGGGTAGATTCGTAAGCAAGAAAACGCGTCCTGTTGTGGTGAAGAGGTGAGGTAAAGACTTACTGCTTGGTACCAGCTCATCTTGTACTCGATGGGAAATGTGGCCTTTTCGATCTCGTTGAGCAGCTGGAGCTCGACCTTTTCGCGCGAAATCTTCTCGGGCTTGCCCTTCTTCACATACAGCTCGACATGGCTTTCGGCGAAGCCGACGTACAAAGTAGGGAGACCCTGGCAACGCGTCTTAGCAGCTGCGCGGTCTGCGATCACCGCGTTGGACTGAGATGCGGAAGTACTCACGATCATTCTGACAGTAACGATGTAAGGGGTAAGGGTATGTAGACGGTGTATTTCTAAGCTATGGTAGCTATGCAGAAGAATGTTGTGTGGCTATGGTATGCAATGTAGAGCGAGGTACCTCAGCTGTAGTGGTTGTGTAGAGAATAGATGGTGTAGCAAAGTAGCAAGAGTGTGGTGATGGAAGAAGGTGTAGTGAGGGAGCAAGTTGCTGATGATTTACAAAATAGATGGCTGGGCCGGAATAGTCATCCGGGCTTCGATTGAGATTTGTGTTGATCAAGGAATTCCTCAATAGTAACCAGAACTGCCCATCCTGCAGCGTGGCCGGCTTATTGTCTACAAAGTTCGCTATTGTCTGCAGTGAACTACGCAACCTATTAGACGGACAGCGAAAATACATGATAGGGAGTGTCTTGTTTTCAAGTGCCGTCTGCTGGCAGTAATCGAAGTCAGGAGGGTTCAGTGTATGATCAGCGCAGCTGTAGTCCTTTAAACAATCAAAGCGGCGCCAAGCCTGCAGAGTTGTCAGTAGACTCAGGGCAAATCAAGCCAGGAACCCATTCTCTCTAGGTATGGTACGCGATAGATCGCAGTAGACTGCCCTAGATGTGCGACAGGCAAAGATCTAGAGGTTTGAATCGAAGTGCAAAGGCTGGTTCTCGGCCAAGCGTAGACGACAAGGTAGTTGCTCTGATCTTCATCAGTGTTTCCGTTACTGGGGATTCGGCCTTGCTCTCTCAACAGGCAGTGACCTTCGGTCAAGCCATTTTCGATGGTGAGAGAGCTGACGGCCACCTTCAAGTCAGCTTGGAATGGTAGCTATAACAACTTCGTTTATTTGTATCATATAAGCATGTAAGTAGATAAAAGCACTGTGGTCGTGAGTCTTGGCTTGAGGTGAAGTTAGAGCGTACCAAGTGTGAGGTTACCAGCAAGTCACGGTCTGATTTACCAAAAGTCGAGTGACTGTGAGAAACTCCATCCAGTTGTGCATACAAACATCGCTATTCAAATTCACAGATAGTGTAGATAAAGTCTATGTAGTCAGAAAGGCGTGGCAATGTGTTTCAGCGGCTGGGAAATCTGGCTGCGCTGTCCGGAGGTCCTCGTGCAGATTCATACTGGAGTTCAAGTCCTACCACAACTTTCCGCGTTTACAAGTAGAATGCGTCCAAATATGAGCATGATTCTTCCACAAATTAAGTAAGGCGTAGAAATTCCCCCAAAAAGCCAAAGAATAGAAAAAAAGCAAACCCAAGTAATCCCTCAACAACCCAGATTCGAACTCGAAACCTTCACTGCTTAGAGAAGCTAGCTTACCTTATCCCCTCTCAATTTTGACAGGGAGGAAAAAAGGCAAAACGATTCTCACACAACAGTCGCCCCCGAATCAATGGGGTCCACTGTTGATGTGAAACAGGAAAGTAGGCTTGTAAACTTTTGAAGTTGAAGCAGCCATTTTTCGCTTAAGCTACTTGATTGTGGTGATTCGGTATCTTAACCAACTCAGCCATCAGGGCTTGTATGCGAAAAAAGGTCTTAAAACAAAATATAACTCCACAACTTTATTTTGTAGACGTTCACACACACAACCCACGCAAACGACATTGAATCTCCAGTAGAAGCATCGACGCACCAAAATCAATTGGGACAGGGTGGCACGGTAGTGGGCAAAGTGGCATTCATCAAATCACGCGGGCAAAAGATTCACAGCAAGTACAGGCACAACTCACAACTGTCCAGACCCGCAGTCTCAGCTGCTCCAATTATCGCTTCATACATTCGTGTCTCCCAATTCTGGAACTTCGTATTGTCTCTGCTGAGAGACGGATTGAGGGGCTTACGGCGAGTCTCCTGAATTGCGAATCACGTTTCTGCCAACCTTATCAGGGCGCCTTCAATTGTCACATCACGGCATGGTTCAGGGTATTTGACTATATTCAGGTCATTATCTCAGACTCTGAACATGTTGCAATTGGTCAATGTCTCGCAGCCAGCACTGCCAGAGGCATTGGGCTTATAGGGGGCAGAGAAGCACCTTCGCCTTGATCAGTTGGCACCGTTGCTTCCATGCAGCTTATTCGTTGTGCAGCGCTTCCGTATTCGCAAAGTCTGCACTTGACGGGCATGCCCACCGCCTTTGCACGTTGCCAAATCTCCGTCCTTCTCAACAATAGCTCGATGTTCCAATAATCTTTACCCAAGGGTACCAGACTCAAAATCCTATACACAAAGTCATGACAACCTCGACAGAGCCAAGCGACTTGATTCAAAATCTGTTCCTCGTGCCACCGCTGCTTTCGAGCTACACTGTGTACGAAATGGGGAGCGAGATGATGAGCCGTCAGAGCAAAGTGCGAGCGCTCGCAAAGCTCACGCCTTCTAGGAATTTTGACATCCTTTATGTAGTCACAGACGATGGGAAGGAAGAAACATCTAAGATCTTATTCTCGGCAGATGATGGAATAGTACATCAAATATGGGCCGGACTGAGGGGAATCTCAATTTGGTTTCCGCATGTTGATGGTCTAGTGACGATGCGTTCTGGGAATCTGTACGTGGCTGAGAGGGCGGCGTTGTCTTTGATTGCGGTATATGACACCTCATGAAGCTCTTTGGAGAGAAGTGCAAATGCTTGCTTTGCGACGTGCTGAACTATACCTTAGATACCGCCTTCTCATTTCCCCGTACATTGGAAGTCTTGCATCTTCCTCCCTCGTTGATATAGGCTAAATTCAGGACGGTGCATGTCATATCAAAGATCAAGAGGGAGGCTTTAACTGAAACCTCTACTTGTGCAAAGGGAGGTTGACGGAGAAGGCGCTTGCTAAACGCCGAAGCGCCCACAGAATAGTGTGGTCCTTCTCTGTTGCTACAACCAATTATACTTATCGTTACGAGTTTCATTCGCAGTCCAAGGGATACTCCCTCATACAAGCATCATGTCTGGAGCGATGGCGGCCCGTATTCCTATTCCACAGCGTCTGCAGACCTCTTTTCTCTACCCCCTGCGTTCTCCGATTCCAGCAGACCCCAGCCTGTCAACCCGAGGAGTACGCACCCAACGCCATGCCCCATGGCCTTCCCTGCCATGCCCCACAAGCTCATCACAACCGTGTCCACAGCGCCAGATACCGTGCAGCATATCATAATCGTGCCCATTGCCCTATACATGCCCTGCCAGTAGAGCGCCAGCATCGCTAGCCCGAGAGCAAAGTTACGACCGCCGAAGATAGTGATGAAGGGAACAAGAGAGGATGGCGACTTTGGCGTCGAATAGTATGGTTCTAGACCAAATAGGTGAATCGCAGGAAGAGGAGATACGAGGATGTAGACTGATAGGAAGGTGGCGTAGAGGGCGAAGAGGATGGCAAGGCGGAGGATCCATGGGTTAGGCATTTCGATGTCGACGGATGATATGCGAGGACTGTAGAATCAGAGCGACCTCATTGGGACCCCGAACGTTGCCCTATAAATTGCCTTGTCGATGTCTGTGGTTGAACGAGACAGCGGACTCTGAGCTCCCTGCGGGGTCCGAGACTTTTAGTTCCCGCGTAGGCAATGACATGGACATTCGATCCATGCCCATGGTCAACCCGCTGGATCTCCTTTACTTCTTTGACCGGCAAGAATGGAGGACCCGCCTCTCCGATTCCGTATGGCACAAAGTCTCAGCGTCAGCGCCATGGCCATTGCCGACTGCTGGCTCCTCCTTCTGCCCGCCTGAAGGCTACACCCATCTTGCACTACAGCTTCAGCTTCGCCCTGGCTTTCAACACCGTTTCCGCGGCTATACTCTCGGTGGGACTCACCTCCCATAGGCCCTTCAAGACAAGGCTGAGATGCATGATCCAGGTATCTAACGGTAATGGGAAGGCGTCATGCACCTTTATCGACGAGACGACGACAATGTGCATGCCCCTCCTCTCCTCAACCTCAGTCTCATTAACCAGTTTTTCGTGGTCTATTTCGGCCAATTCAATCAATATATATACCACATATCACCATGGATCCCCTCTCCGCCTTTAGTCTTGCCTGCGGCGTAATCCAGGTGGTCGATTTTAGTACGAAGATCGTGGTAAAATGCCGAGAAATATACAAAGATGGAGCCTTGTCTGAAAACAAAGAGATCGAGTCCATGGCCAAACACCTTACGGAACTGTCTACCGACTTGAAGTTAGCCAGCGCTATTCCGAGTCCTGGACCCATGCCACAGTTATACTACGATGACCAGGACCTTCTAAAGCTGGCTCAGCAATGTTCTGGGACTGCAACCGAGTTAATAGATGAACTCCAGAAGCTCAGTATCCAGGGTCTGCACAGGAAGCGGGATGTTGTCCGCAAGGCCGTAAAGGCATTCCGGAAGAAGAGCACTATTGAAGACATTCAGAGAAGGCTGGAACAGTATCGCAGGACGCTAGACACACGGATCTTGATCAATTTGAGGTTCGTATGATCGCAAATCCGTATAAATCCTGGAAAACTGATGGGTGATGGAACCATTACAGACAACATGTCCACCTGATTTCTAGAGAGCAGAGCGACGGCTTCAGGGACCTCGATCGCAAACTCCAAAACCTCATCATAGGTGTCGCCAGAGATCAGAACACGTTTGATGATTTGAAGGGCTTGGTTCAAGTTGAAAATGCATCAAACAAGCAACATGTTAGTGAAGAATTCGAGAAGGTACGCAAATTCAGGGAACTGCTCCCTTTGCTAGTAAACACTCTAAGCCGTCAAACATGTCCTGGGCATACAAAGTTCATTCAAGGCTCAAATCTGTCTCGCAACTCAGACCTGCGCCTCGATTAAAAGGCGCTAATTTTGAACTCTTGCTGCAGCATTGCAACCAAACAGCCGCCAACGACTTCTACAAGCGATTCATCGAGAGCCTCTACTTCCCTGATATTCATGCTCGCCAAGAAGAGATCGCAGAAGCCCATCGGCAGACTTTTGAGTGGATCTTCGACAAGCCTGGCCTCGAAGCCTACCTTTGGCACGATTTTGTCGATTGGCTTGAAAGCGGGAACGGCATTTACTGGATTTGTGGCAAAGCAGGGTCCGGCAAATCAACACTGATGAGTTTCATATGTCAGGATTCTCGGACCGAGACAGCCTTGAAGATTTGGTCGGGGAATAATGCAATTCTCGTTCCATCTTTCTTCTTCTGGAATGCCGGCACCGAACTGCAAAAGAGTTCAAGAGGGTTACTGAGGTCGCTCATATATCAGATTTTGGAACATGTTCCCAATTTGATGCCAGTGCTTGAACAATCCCCAGATGTCTCTCAGCATATCACACAACAACTCCCAACCTGGACGGAACGACGGCTTCGTGCAACGCTGCATCAATTGCTATGCGCCGGACTAAATTTACATTGTCTCTGCATATTCATCGATGGCTTAGATGAGCTTAGCGATAATCAGGACAGTCTATTGGAGCTAATTAGAGGATTTCGGCAGTACCCGGGCGTCAAGATCTGCCTGTCCAGTCGACCTCACCAATCGTTTAGAGATGAATATGGATCCTCGGCGATGCTGGAGCTACAAGATCTGACTGAGCCAGACATTCGAAGATATGTATCAGACAAGCTCGGCCGAGCGCCCCTGAAGGCCTCGCAGGTCGCATGTTCCTCATTCGGGCTCAAGGATACCGTAGATACGATCGTCTACAAAGCAGAAGGCGTGTTTCTGTGGGTCAATCTGGCAGTGAGAGACCAGATTGAGGGTATCAAGAATGGCGACGATGCCGAGCAATTGCGAGAGAGACTCCAACTTCTACCAAAAGAAATCGAGAAACTTTATGTCCACATGCTTCAGAGAATCGACAGTTGCTATCGGAAGGAAGTAGCACAATACCTTCAACTAGTTCTTTGCAACGATGAATCCTTGTCACTCTTTGAGATTGCACTTGCAGTACACAAACGAATAGATGATATCCTTGTGTTCTCTCCAGATATATCCATTGGTGATGTACGCAATCACTGTGAGTTCATAGGGGAGCGGGTTGCGACGACATGTAAAGGATTCTTGGAAGTACGCGAATTCAAGGATGGTCACGAGTGGCAAAAGATGGTGACTGAACGCTTCTTGAAGTCAGTGAAAGACCGAAAAACACCTCTTGAGCAACGTGGCGATATTATAAAGACCAAATTCTACCATCTACACACTCGGGTCAACTTTCTTCATCGAACCGCCTTGGACTTCTTCGAAGACAATGAGGAAGGGAAAAGTTTCCTGGAAGCGAATACCTCAGTCAATCCACATCCTCAAGTATTAAACGTCAAGGCTTCACTTGCTGAGCTTATAGTCTTTCCCTTGTCAACGGACGATGGCGTAGTTCGAAGTCTCATTGACCAGATCATGGATAATGCTTCCATTGCCGAAGACAATACAGGAGTCGCGCAAACGGCCCTAATGGAACTTCTAGATCGCAGCATAACAATATTATGCCGACGATCTCTAAGCCAGCCAACGAATCTTCATTGGTGTAGAGTGTGGGAATTTCCTGAAATTTATCATTCCTCGTGGGATTTGGACCGAACACGGCCGCTGTCCAGATCGAAATCCTCACAAACTAGTGGTCGCAGAAACGACGTTGTTCCGGCCCCTTACCCGGTCGACTTCCTCAGCTTTGCAGCTTGGCATGGACTTCATAATCATGTTGCGCATACCCTTGACTTGCGATCTGGATGGCCGCACCCTAGCACTGAGGACTATTTACTCGGCTGTGTTGTTGACGGTTTGGGTTGCCCTGTTCCTCTTCATTTGCGCGGGCACTTAAAGCTTATATCGGCACTCTTGAAGCGAGGTGCTGATCCCAATATGAGAACTTCAAGCCGTAGCATGTGGGGCTCCTTTCTACTAATAATGCATAGAACATGGTGGCAGGATAATTCCTGGGTAGACGCAGGATGGGTAAAAGCTTCACGGGCATTTCTTGGGAGCGGCGCCAATGTCAATGAAATGATCAGCTCCAAGTTCATCTGGATTTTCGGTAATAGAGAAGTGTCTCGTTCGATGAGTTCATCGCCTCTTGAAATAACGGAATTTTCGATGTGGCTGCATCTCTCAGCACCATCGGTTCTACAGCAGTATTTCGCCACCAGCTCCGAGTTCTCCGAGTTCGAGGACGCACTTATTGCCTCCGGCGCATCCTGGTACTCAGAGTGCACCGAATTGTTCTTGAGGGTTGGTCAGGGAAAGGATAGACGCCGGGTTGACTCAAAATTGTCAAAGCAACAACTGAGCCAGTTTTGGGAGGTCTTGAACCAGCGTCTAAAAGCATCCCCCGGAGATATTTTGATGCGCTGTAAAATAATTGAGCGCCAAGTTATGGAACTGGTCCAGAAGCTCGACATGGAACAGCTCTACCAACAAGCGCCCCTTGAGGAAGAGTTTGAAGAGGGAAGCCTCTCGGAAGAACAGTCACAAGAACACGAAAGCAGCGAAGACATCGAGAGCATCTCCGACGGATCAAGCATCGATGCTTCAGATTCCGACACCTTCGAAGCAGAAGGGCCTTCAGACTCCGCAGATTTCTCCCAAGAAGAGGAGTGAATGCAGCGGCCGAAGCAAGACGACTAAGCAGAGGATCTAAAGATGCAGAATTTTCTGCAGAGGTGGTAACGTCAACGTGCTTCACTTGTCGGGTCGGAACGCTACATGGAGGACAATGCGATACAATCACGCTAGCGGCCAGGTCAGCGGTGCTGACTGCTTTCCAAGAGCGGCTTGTTTGGACGTCGTGGTGGATTTTCGTTCGGCAGTATGCTGTATTACACGGCGTTACATTTTCCCATTGGGAGATGTTGCTCTGGCGGATTTCTTCCAGTATGGTAGTTTATGAGAACATGAATGATGATGATAGCTACGATTTCTTGCAATACCGATCTATTCAATTCAAACACTGACCATATATTGCGGTTCATGCACGTTGATCTACCCGATCTTGCTTGATGATTGGGAATACTTCGATTTCGTTTAGCATAAATTTCTCAAGGGTAAAAATTGACAGCAGTAAATGATGAGTTGTGAGCGACTTCCGCATGTAAGGGGTCAAATGAGTAGTCAAGAAGAGGGTAAGCAGATGTGGCAAGCTAAATGACGGAAATGTCGAGTGTACCAAGACTAAAGAGCTGGGTATCTTTTAAGTTTCAAACGCCCTATATTGCACCTCACCATTCAACGCCTTTTTGTGCCATCGGTCGCTACCTCATTCAGCGGCCATACGCTCCTGATCCTCCAGAGTACGGCCCTCGTGCCACTCCTTGAACTCTCTTTGTAACGCAAAGATAACTTCAACCGCAATTAGCAAGATGATAATCCATTCCAGCCGGACACCATGTGCCTCGCTCAAATGCTGCCGCAGCACGCTAGCTATTTCCTGTGCGTAGTCCATCTTCTCGTTCAAGGTTTTGATGCGGATGTTGGTATCCAGTGCTCTTCCAACCTCGTCGTAGTAGCCTTCGAGTCTCAATTCGTGGCGGCTGTCCCAGAAGAGGTCGGGCAGGGAGTCCGTCAACTCGGAGTAGAGATTCAGTTGGGCCCGGATGCTGAGGAGCTGGCCTGTCTTTGTCGATATGAAACGTCGCGTAAAAGGCATGCGGCCTCCGCGGGAAAGTTGGGAGGGAATAGTCCTAGTGGACTCTTGATAATCTCTTAGAAGAGTCTCGAGTACGGCCAGCTTCGTTGAACGAGCTAAACCAGATGAGAAGGCTATCTTTGTAAGCACCGTGTCAAGGTTTCGACTGTGGACCTGGAACCCGTCGGTATCTGCAGCTAGCGATGCTTCAGTCTCGTTTTCTGCGGCCTGAGCAAACTTTGATTTGGTGCCCAGGTTGATTCTATCGCCTTTGATACTGCTGTGTTCTCTGCTTGGGTCTTCAGAGTAGTCAAGATCCTCCTCCTCGAGCTGAAGAAGTGGGTATTTGGCAGCTGGGAGAAGCGTTTTCGACACCAATGGCGTAAGTACGCTCTCCGGAATGGCCCATGCAACTACAGTGCCAGATGGAAACACAAAGACATCGCCAACACTCGTCTCTTCTGGGTTCGAAGGATCTGCGTGGACCGGCAATGCTACATGTACCACCTGCGGATACAGCTCCGTTTTGTAGGGATCCAAGATGTTGCCCAAGCCCTGAAGTATGCGAGCTACTTCAGCGACGTCGTATTCTTCAGCAGCGCAGATCGCAGTCACGGTCTAGGTGTTGCAAACAATCAGTAACAGTGGGCGAAGAGTCCTGGGTAATGTCCAACCTTAGAAGTTGCCTGATGGGCAACGGCCGGCGTCTTCTTTGACCCTTTCCCATCTCTAGACCGTTGAGCCTCAACTGCGACTCTCCGCAGAGAGTTCTTTGCTGCCTGGGATCTTGTAGTCTTTCGCTTGTTGTTTCCAGGAGATTCTTCTATCTTCGCAGGAGCTTTCTCCAGCTTCGCGTCTTGCTGTAGGAAGAACGGGGCGCTTGTTGAGAAGTAGTCATTTCGCTCATTCCGCTTTCGCGAACGCAGACCACCGGTAGAATGAAAGGAGGAGCTTCTCAGTCGGAGAGCAGGACTCTGGATGATTGGTAGAGAGCTGAAAGGCCGGCGCTGGTAGGGAGTGAAGATGCGTGGAAGCCGAAGACACAGGCAGTTCAGATTCGATGGCATTGCTTGCTTGGGAGGGTACTACATTGGGCAGACATCGGAAAACCCATTGCTAGGCAGCCACATTACCTGGGATCTCCTCATGGAAGAATGGCATGGAGAGCGAGTGGGAGAGGACCTTGTTACACCAAAGTACACATTGAGACTCAGTCTGGAAGAGGCCTAGCGGTTAGGGCTAGGTCTAGCGGAGGGAGTACTCTCCGCAACTCTGCTGTGCTTCTTAAATTTACCCTGTGCATTCTTTCCCTATGGCTTCGGAGGCCGGAGAGGCTGATCAGGACGAAAGCGTTGATGAAGAGGAGTCAACTCTTGTCAGCAATGGCAAGCCCGAGCCCGAGAACGGGGAAGAGGGGGAAGCTTCCGAGGAAGAGGAGGATGAAGAACCACGTCTGAAGTACGCACCCTTGACGCAACACCTGAAGCCAGTATACCGGAATGGCGATGCTACAAGCGCCTTTCTGGTTACAGGCGACAAGATGGTGAGTCGGCCGCTGCGATTTTTCGGGCTCGGAAAGAAGACTAACGGCGCCCTAGATCATAGGCACGCACAATGGGAACATAGTGAGCTCTGACTTGACTAGAATTATTTACCCCTGCTGACTGGATCCAATAGCATGTGCTGTCTGTGCCCTCGCTGAAGGCCATACGGGTCTACCACGCCCACACAGCATCTGTCTCCGGCCTCTCCATATCTCCGTTCCCTCCACCATTGGCAGCTACAAAATTAGACGCCGTGAACAGGGTCGCTTCTGAGCATAGAGGGTCTCCTAGGCCTTCAACGCCAAAAGTAAACCATGATTCGCCCTCCTCAAGGACCCCGCAGCAACAGCCTGTCCCACTCACGCCTTCGAATATGATATACATCGCGTCTTCTTCCATAGATGGAAACGTGTGTGTTGCATCATTGACTGATTCCAAGGATGTTCAGTTACGGAACTTTGGCCGCCCAGTTCAGACCGTGTCCCTGTCTCCTGACTACAGAGCTGATCGATCTTACCTATCCGGCGGCATGGCTGGCAATCTGGTGTTGACAGTGGGAGGACGGTCGGGGACTAGTTCTACTTCGACGACTACCGGCAGTGCCGCAGCCTCAGCTTCAGGTTGGCTTGGCGTAATAGGCCTAGGAGCCAACACCGGGAGAGATCAGGTCCTGCATTCTGGAGAGGGAGCTATAAGCACCATCAAATGGTCCCTATCTGGAAAACACATCGTATGGGTCAACGAACAAGGTATCAAGATCATGCGTTCGAACTTGCATCTCGAGACTGGAGAAAGTGAATTCGCGTGGAAAAGGATCAGCCATACTGACCACCCAAATCGCCCGGGCTGGGATGAAATGGCAGGCATTTGGAAAGCACATGTCGAGTGGATAGATGAAGCGGGCCTTGAGTCTGATGACGGATATTCTCCATCCAATGGCTCTCTGGAGAAGTCTCGGGACCCGCCAGATCTTGAGCGTCTAAAGGCACCGCAGAAAAGCAGACGTATTGAGAAGCTGGTAGTAGGATGGTCCGGCACCATATGGATCATTAACGTGCACCCTGGAGGGGCCGGCGTTGGAAGAGATGTTGGTGAACGCAAGATAGGACGAGCGGAGGTTGTCACAATGTATGAGTATGACTGGCTAGAAGACCTCCAAGCCCCAAGCTAATGTGTACTAGTTTACGAATTGACTGTATAATATCTGGAATTTCGCTATATACCCCAAATTTGCTTCTTGTACTTGCATATATCACACCAGAAGAGGATGTCTCTTCTAATCCCACAGACACGAAACCGGGAAGGCATCGGCGCAAAACTGCGCTCCAACCTGAGATGAGGATCATCGACATCACAACCAAAGAGGAAGTCAGCGTGGCTGACACGCTGAACATGAGCCGTTTTGAAAGCCTGTCAGCAACTGATTATCATCTGGGTGTTCTTCCCGCAATGCGCTTTTCTAGCAAGGCCGCGACACAAAGGGGTGCATTCGAAGCTATCGGTGGCGGCATCGAAGCCATTGGAGGTGGTATCTGGGATGCTACCATGTATCCAGCTCGACTCTTCAGCAGCTCTGTAAGCGTTCGTAGCGGTGGCAGTCCAGGATCAAGTGTTAAGGCTGCTAGCGATGCAGATACCAAGGCCAGTCTTACTTCGGCCCAAATTAGCGAGATGCCCAACCCAGCTACTTTGGCACATGGGATGAAAATCTTCATACATAGTCCTTACGACTGTGTCATTGCGACAAAGCCCTCACTCTCCGATCATCTCTCATGGCTTGATTGTCATGGCTTGTATGAAGACGCTTGGAACTTGCTAGATCGGAGTCCAGAAGCAGTCCATGGCCAGTCTGACAAAGCTTCAGACAGCCCTTCAAGCACACCAACCAAAGCGCAAGGCAGCCTCGTCGAATTCTTTGCGGATGACAGCTCTCAGACTACTCTCTCAGGCCTGCGCAATCCTAACTCGCAAGCTGAAAAAGAGAAGCGCCGCATTGGCGATCAATGGGTGCAGCAGCTGATATCGAAAGAAGACTGGAGTAGAGCCGCGCGGATTTGTGGCCAGGTTCTGAACACCTCATCCAGCTGGGAGCATTGGGTGTGGGTTTTTGCCCAAGCCAACAAATACGAAGAGATCACCCCATACATACCGACTGCACAACTTCGGCCTCCACTACCTTCCCTCGTCTATGAGCTCATGCTGGGCCACTATGTCCAGACGGATCGACTACGCCTCAGAGAGCTGCTCGAAAGATGGCCTCCGGATTTGTTCGATGCTGGGGTAATGATCGAAGCCATCGAAAGCAAGCTCAAAGCAGGCGACGTCCGCGAGGATTCTAGTGAAGACGGTGAAACAGGGCGAGACTGGCGTATCCTCATGGACGGTCTCGCAAAGCTCTACCTCGCCAACGGCCAAACCAGGAAAGCTTTGTCCTGCCACATCCGCCTTCAAGACGCAGATGCAACCATGTCTCTCATAGCTGAATACCACTTAGTCTCGGCAGTCTCGGAGGACATTCCGGGCTTCATCCTTCTCCGTGTCAGCAAATCTCAACAGAGATCCGCCCCACTCTCTTACCTCTCCATCGCAACGCTCGAACCTATCCGCCTCCTCGTCGCTGAAGCCCATCATGGCATCGTGCAACCCGAGACCGTTATTCAGCAACTCGAAAAGCGCTACGGCATGCCGAATCCCTACCTCTTCTTCTACTTCCGCGCTCTCTGGACTGGGGATACTGCCCAAGATGCCCAGGAGACCGCTATCCCCAAAGCAGCAACAGAAGAGCGCCTACTCGCCATCGAAGGCAAAACCCTCGTCTCCGATCACGCCGACACCGCGGTCCACCTTTTCGCTGAATACGACCGCCCGCTCCTAATGGAATTTCTCAAGTCCTCTCAGTCGTACGATCTAGCGCTCGCCTCCAAAATGTGTGAAGAGCGCAAATACATACCCGAGCTTGTCTACCTCTTATCCAAAGAAGGACGTACCACCAAAGCTTTGCGTTTGATCATCGAATCCCTAAACGATGTATCCCAAGCCATATCCTTCGCCAAAGAACAGAATGATGCTAGTCTCTGGGACGACCTCCTCGACTACAGCATGAATAAACCTCGCTTCATCCGTGGCCTACTTGAAGAAGTCGGCACCAGCATTGACCCACTCAAGCTCGTCAAGCGCATACCTCTAGGCTTGGAGATTGAAGGTCTGAGAGAAGGCTTGGGCAGGATGCTGAGGGAGTACGAGGTACAAGAAAGTATCAGCGAAGGTGTAGCCAGAGTTCTGCGGGGAGAAGTCAACGCCGCTATGCAGCAGCGAGGAAGAGGACAGAGGATGGGCGTGCGCTTTGATGTTGCGAAACCTCACCATGACGAGTCTTCCGATCATCTTGACAGCAAGAAACCAAAGAACCCACCAAAGAAGATCCGGCCGGGCTACTGTGTCGGGTGTGGAGAAATGATCACTGAGCACGGTAAGTTGTCTTTCATATTTCGACTCCTATGCGGCCACACTTGCCTTCGAATATTCAAACCTTCCCCGTTACTATCAAACTACGTGCCACGAGGTCTCACTAACGCCTTTCGTCCCCACAGACAAAGACATCCTAATCGCCTTCCCCTGCACCCACATCTTCCATCTCCCCTGCCTGCTCAAATACGAGAAATCCGACGCCGAACTCCCAGACGTGCTCTCCACCTTCGGCACCCTTGACTCCGAAGACGAAGGTGGCTATGACAGGAGTATAGGGCCGAAGGTAGATCACGCTGCGTTATTGCGGACGGTGGTTGGGGAAGGCTGTCCGGTGGCGGAGCATCATATGGATGATGGAGTGGGCTGAAGGTGTTCAGTTGAGGGCTTGAAGGGCTTGTTGGCGGTGATATGATGCATAGCAAGGGTTTTGGGGCATATTATGGCGCAAAAACCGGAAGCATTGGTTCCGAGCGTAGTATCTTCAAGCAAATCAAAGTCGAGCATGTATGAGTGTTTATTTCCGTACACGAGCAGGCAAGTCATTAACCAAGGCAGCGATCTTACGCAATGAGGTTTTCGCCTTGTATGCACAAGCGTTAGTTGCCTTGAGGGATTGTAGCAGTGTCTGAACGATCTCAGGGCTTGTTTTCTACGTTCTTATCGACATACTTTAAGAAAATCCTGCCATTACAACTGCCACTTCCTTGGGTAAATCACCTTTTCAGGCGTCACTGCATAATTAGGACGAAGGATGGGAGCAAGTATGAATTGGTCTATTAAGCCGTGACTAAGTGACGTTACAGACGGGAGACTCACGAGAGCCTTCCATTGTGGACGGCCACGAAGCTTGAGCGAAAGAATAAAGAAGGACAACGTTCAATAGGAACTGTGGCCATGCCGAACTAATCCGCGCCATGGTTACCATCCATGCATGCCACGAACAACATGATCTTGTATCACACGCAAAGGAAGCCCGTCAACGTATTCGTGACCTTGGCCCCTACCCATGCCAGTCTAGATCAAGAAGGCAACGTTGGCAGCCAAAGCAACCAGGAGGGAGAGTACGAGCCCGGTGGGAACGGTGTACTCGGGGAGGGCACCGTTAGCAGGAACAATTGTGCGTGTTGTTGACCCGACTTCTGAGACGACTAGAGATCCGGTGGTGGTGGTTGACGGGGTACCCGTCTCTGAAGAAGTGGATGTGGCCGTCGTAGTGGCTGAAACTGTGGGTGCAGAGCCGGTGGATGCTGGAGTTGCAATGGTAGCGTTCGCCGAGATTGGTGCAGCAGCAGTCATTGATGACAGGGCGGCAGATGCTTGCGAGAGGGCTGATGACGCGGCTGATGGCATTACTTGCTGAACGGCCGAGATCGCAGCGGATGCCTGAGACAATGCGGCGGACGTATCGAAAGCTCCGGCTGCCTGAGGTACTTGCATAGGAAGGATTGTCGGGATTCCGGCAACGGTAGTCGAGATGGACGATTCCGGTCCGGCAGTGCAGTACTCAGGGATCGAGGTAACAGTCACAGTCATGCTATCTATCCACCGAGTCAGCTCAAGTTCGTCCCATGTAAGGACCAATGAGGGTAGGGTGACTGACCATCACGGCCAACAAGGCCACCGAACTTGCGAGCGAGACGTGCCTCACGGACTTGATGGGCTGTATGATCTATCAGGCAAGGTTTGCAACTGGCGAGAGGGATGAGCATACCTTGAACGTTCTCACGAGCCTCGAGACCGACACGAGCGGCTTTGCTGGGCACTATGGAAACCAGTCGTTAGCATATGGTGTGCAAAGCGTGGGAGAAGATGAGATCGAGAGGATCGTGCTTGGAAGACAAGTGCATGACGATGGGGATCATTGGCACTGCTAGTGTGGGCAATGTTACCAGGCATCTCGGTTCTGAAATCCGATTTGCATTGGACATCACACTCAGTACCCGGCATCAGATCCCAGCAGATGGCAGTGCAGTCACCGCTGGTAGCAGAGATCACCGTTCGTCGATTCAAGGCAACTTCGGATGTGGGGATAGATTTGGACGTAGACGTGGTAGGCATCGCTGTGTAGAAACTTCCACCACAGTCAAAACCGCAATCGATATCGCCCTCATCCAAGTTACCCGTGCAGACGGCACTGCAGTCACCGCCGGTAGAAGAGACTACCGTTGGCTGGTTCAAGGCAGTTTTGGAACTTGATGTCACTGTCGATATCACAACGGATGTGGATGTGGATGTGGCAGGCATTGTTGTGGAGAAACCTTCAGAGCAGTAGACATCACAATCCGTGCCCGTGCCCAAGTCACTACTGGATAGGTCCCAGCAAATAGCAGTGCAGCCGTCATTGGTGACAGTGACGACTGCTTGCCGTTTGGCGAGGACGGGCTTACCGGTTGCTTCGATGGCGTTGATAGTGCACACCAGGCTCACAAGGCCGAAGACGACGGACTTGGTGACACGCATCTCGCCGAAGGTGATGAGGTTGATGGATGCGAAGAAGAATGTTCAGGTAGTGTAATAGAGCTTGAGCGATAATATGGGCTGCAGTGGTGGTTGAAGAGCAATGTTGTGAGTGAGCAAGATATGCGATGTTGAGGAAAGAAGAAATCGTTGAGCGGTTGAGGAAATATAAACAACCAAACCACGCTAATAGCAACGCAGCTTCCCGACTACCAGCAAATACGGCAAGCAGGTACGCGGCCCTTCAATTCTACCCCTACGAAGATACACATGCTACGGACATGCAATTGCAGGTATATGTCGTGATAAGGATGGTTCATTAAGTGCAGTAAACACGCGTAGAAAGAGAACCTTCTTGAGCACCGTGACCATGGTAGTCGCTTTTCATGCCAATGCTAAAGGTTCACATTTTGAGACTGTAGTCAGCCCCCGTCGAGGATAGCAGCTCGGTCAGAGTCCGGGCATTCGTGCTTGCAGGAAGGAACTGCTGCTGAGTTCATGCGTTGTTGAGGCGAACGCGGCTTCAAGTTCTGGCAGTTGCTGCTGTCAGCAGCTAAAAGTCCTTTCCTCTTGCCCAACTCTTCCTCTTCTTTACATCTTCACCATCTCTCTCTCTCATCCTTCAGTCACTCGTTTACAGCCACACACTCCTCTTAGTGCTTTGCAGTCAATTGATTGCCTTCTTGAAGATCCTTGGTTACTCATCAGCGTGCGTATGTCAGTTGCAGCCATCATGCATCTCGTCAAGTCTTTGTTCGTCGTGGCATTGGCCACTCCATTGGTGGTAGCCGGACCGAGAGGTCAGCGGCCTCCGAATTCCATTGACAGAGCCCGACTTGCTGACCTTCCACATAGGCAATGGCCTTCGTCGACGTGCAGGAGATGGTGAGCCTCCCACTGCCCTCAGCTCACGTTTATGGCTCCTTCACTCTGCACTCTCATACACAGCAACTCCACGCAAAGAATTCTTTTGCAGAGTTGCTTAAGCCAGTTTTGGTGCAAAGTCTGCACCATCTGACGCCAGGACAACGCTCTCCTCTTTCTTGCACTCCGACCTGCACCAACCTCATCTCCGGCCTTTGCTGACCAACATGTGCAAAATCAGATGATGACTCCTCGTCTCTATCAACCACAGACTTGACACCCAGCTCATCCGAATCTGCAAACGACCAGCCATCTGTGATTTTGATTGGAACAGCACCGCTTGGGACTGGCATCTCTTCAGCACCTGGGACTACACAAGCAGTTGTGATCACCGATGTGTATGTTCAATTCCTCCTCAGCTCTCTATACTCAAGCTGACTTGAAGAGCAGTGTCTACACCACCTTGACCACTTGCCCAGTCACCAGCCTTGTCACTTCTGGCAGCACGTCGTTCGAGGAGATCACGACTACCATCTCAACCGTTACCCGTACTTCAACGTCCACGCTTTGTACCAAATGTGTTGCACCTCCAAGTAAACCAGCATTGTCTTCAAGCTCACCGAGGGAAACGGCCGCAACTTCTTTGCCGTCTTCCATCATCTATTCTTTGTCACAACCATCGTCAAGCCTGCCATCAATCTTGAGATCCTCGACTGCTGAAGTGCCTGGTACTGGCGTGCTTTCAGCCATCCTTTTCACAAATACCATTCCGGTGATCCCACTGCAAACAGCCATTTCTAGCAAGCCAGAAGTGCCCAACACTGCAACTTCTCCAAGCAAGAGTCCCGTCTTCCCGAGCTTTGTCTCTTTGACCGTCTCGGCTGCGTCAAGTGTCTCAAGCACTCTTGAATTTCCAGGATACGGCATTGTACCATCTCCAACCAGCACTCCCGGTTTACCAAGAGAAGAGATCTTTTCCAACGCTACATCTTCAATCATCCCTGTCTACACTGCAGCGTTACTCGGCAATGCATATGGTGGTGGCTTCGTCAGCACTCCATCCGTCTATGTGACCAGACTGCCATACCCCAACAGCCCATCCTCAGGCGTTCCTCCTGGATATGGATCAGGGTCGTCCACTACCATCACTGAAAACAATGTCACAGCAGTGTTCCCCAGCTTGGAAGCCTTTTCGACCTCAGCAGCTGGCCTACAAAGCACAACTGAGATAGCAATTTCTGCCTTTACTGCCACCATTGCATCAAACGTCAGCGTCCTGATCGGCACCCTCGGTGCCTCGACCATCGCTGCTACAACTTCCGGAAACGAAGGCTCCACTCCAACGTTCATTTCGCTATCACCGTTTGGTGGAGAAGTAGGCCAAGAGTCTGGTTCCCCTGCTATTCCCACTGTGGTATCCATTGAAGTACCGAGCAGTCCCGGCTCTGCTATCGTCGGAACTGAAGCCAATGTAGCCTCGACTGCTACAACGCCTGTTCAGAGAGGCAACTCTGGATCTGGTGGTGTCATCGGCTACACCGCTATTATCGCAGCTACGTCACCTGCCGGGGCCTTGAATGCTGAGGTCAACCAAGTGAGCAATGCAGTGCTGTCTTCGTTGACGGCCGCTGGTGTCCCAACTTCATCACTCAACGTACAGGTGGCCGTTGTCGGCTCTTCTACCACATCGATCATCGGCTCGTCAGGCGAGACAGCAGAGTCCAGCTTCCCTACCTCAACGCTCATCGGAGGTGCTGCTATCCTATCTACCGTGGCCACTGTATCTCCACTTGGTGCAGGACCGTCCAGCTTTCAAGTCATCGCTGCAGCAGAGAACGCTACCAGCTCGACTACCTCAGTGATCGAATTGGCAGGCGCAATAGGATCTTCCGTCGTCCCGGCCACCACAAGCGCTAGTGTTATTCTAAGCCCAAACTTTTCCAGCAGCGGTATCAACATTGAGGCAACTCCTGCTGGCAATCTGACTTCAGGCGAAATCGGTGCCACTATCATTCCATCTCTACCAGCCGAGCAAAGTGCTGGGCCCGTGGTCACTTTGGCTGTTGGATCATCGGCAGAGCAGACTCCAGCTGCTGGTCAATCCGCTACTTTGATGCCAACACCAATCATCGTCGCCAACGGTAGCACAGCCCTCGCTGTCGTTCCATCGCCTGTCGTTGGTGCCAATGGTCTGACTTCACTCGCTGTCTTTTCGACACCCATAGCTCCTGCTGCTGGTGTGACTACGCCTGCTGTCCTCTTGACACCTATCGTAGGCGCCAACGGTCTCACGTCACTCGCTGTCGTTGCCACACCTGTCGTCGGCGCCAATGGCTTGACATCGCTAGCTATTGGGTTCGAGACCGAGACTATTCCAACTGCTGGCCAATCCAACAGTGCACCTACTCCAATAGAAGGATTTGTCGTCGTCCAACCACCAGCCTTTACACCGCAAGTCTCCGGAAGTATCCCCAACCAAGCCAATATCGCTGCCTCTGGTGTCGTCAACGTCGTTTTGCCGTCCGGATCCGCCGAGTCCCCAGTATCTGGAGACAGTGGAAGTGGCAACTACAGCATCCACGTTTTGCTTAACCCTACAGCTGCCTCTCAATTCCAAGGCTCTGCTGTCAGAATTTCTCTTGGTTTTGGGGTTGGTTTGTTCGGATTGATGATATTCCTTATTCTCTTGTGAGCGACATGTCTAAGTCACCGGTGCGAGGGGTGAGAACATGGGTTAGATGATAGATAGGTGGGTTCATCGCTATGGGAGTCGGAGGATTTGCTTTGCTTTTTCGCTGCTTTATACAAGAAGATGTCTTCTGACAAGAGCGGTATCTTATCAGCATTGTTTACTCCCTAATCATGGTGGAGAGGGCTGGCCATATAGCATAGATAGCACGACTTCATTCTCAATCTAGTGGTTCACTTCATGATCTCCTTTTTGCGTGACCTGAGCTTTGCCTCCTTCAGCTCGCAATGCCATCAACATGAAAAAGTGCAGTGTCTCGTCCTTCAGCCTTAATGTTGACCTCATCTTCCACAGGCGCCACTTTTAAGAACGGTCCTGAGTCTTTCTTGGTATTCAATGGACACATTGGCTCCCATAATCTCTAAAATCATGGAGCCTGATCTTTTGGAAGGCCAGTGCTACGACACTGCTCAATGTATCTCCAGTGTAAACCTGCTGCATTTTGGGAGTAGTGCAGAGCGTGGCGGCCAAGATAGCGATGCAGGCCTAAGACCACGCCTGCGTTCTGCCGGTGTATGCCCTCTTATAAAAGGGCCATCTGAACGATGGTACATCCAAAGCCAGCTCGTCTTCTTTCCCGCCAACCTCGACGAAGATCCTGGATCTCGAACGACCGAAGCTCTATTCCTGGCCTTGCATCTGCGTCTGCAACTGATACACCTCCATCTTCTTGCTCTCGCTCTCGGTCTGCGTCTCCTGGATCTGCTTCTCCAACCGCTTGATCTCCCGATCGATGAAGTCGAGGCGGCCTTCGACGGCCATGACGGCTTCGCTGCGCTCTTGTTTCAGCAGGACGGGGCCGACGAGCTTGTAGATGGCGGAGGTGGAGGGGAGGGTGGAGAATTCCTTCGCGGGTGTCAGTGGTGCGGACGATGGACGGGGACGGGGAAGCGGGGGTCGAAAATATGGGGAGAACGTGCACCTTTTGAACGCCTTTGTTTTCTTGCTGTTGGGACTCGAGGCGCTGGCGGGCGGAGACGGTTGTTTGGAGGTCTGAGGGAGGATTGGGAATTAGCAGATGCGGTTTGCGTGGAAGGTTGTGGGGCATGAGGTCTACCTGTTTGGATCTTTTGATAGGCGTCTGAAAGCTCTTGGAGCTTCTTTTGGTCTTCTGCCATATCGTAAGTGGGACATCTAGTCTTTGAAGGCAGAGTCGATATTTCGATATCCATAGGGCTGACCGTGGGGTGGCGTCATTGGCTTGGCGCGTGTTTACCCACTCTCCTGCGTTGGCTCTTCGCTTGCTACTGTATTGTTGCCGCAACAACAACAATAACAGACTGCTGGACACTCGAGAATCCTAATTTTATCCACTCCGTGCTCAGTGCTACATAGAAGTTCAAGCGCTCTTAAGTTCTCAGTTCTAGACCCCGCCTTGAAAAGCTCAAGAGCTCTATCTCTGGGCAACGGTCCCATTCAACGGACTAAGACCATATCTCTCGAAGAGGAAAAAGTCACGACCGTCACAAGAAGAGCTTAGACGTATCCGCTTTCCTTCGTATCGCTAGCGAAAATGAGTAACACAGATTTCCTCGGCCGGGCGATCGAGGTCGTGAACAAAGCCATCGAGAATGACACTGCAGGCGAATATGAGAAGGCATACCAGCTATACTATCAGGCCTTGGAGTTGTTTATGTTGGCATTAAAATGGGAAAAGAATGTCAAGTCGAAGGAGACGATAAGGGCCGCGGCAGGTGGATATATGGAGAGGGCGGAGAAGCTGAAAACGCATCTGGCGGAGGGCGACAAGAGCAATAAGAAAAAACCGGCAGCGGTGGGGAGTAACGGGAAGGTATCAGGAAGTGGGGGAAAAGGAAAGTGAGTGTTTCAATCTTTCTACTTAAAGCGGTCCAAGCCGTGCTACGCAATAGGAGACTAATTCTCAGGCGCTCCAGGGACGATGATGACGATGACGGAGATCCCGAGGCCAAGAAGTTACGAGGGGCACTTGCAGGGGCTATATTGACTGACAAGCCGAACATCAAGTGGGAAGATGTGGCAGGTCTGGAGCAGGCAAAAGAGGCGCTGAAAGAGGCCGTCATTCTGCCCATAAAGTTTCCACATCTGTTTGTCGGCAAGCGCCAGCCTTGGAAGGGCATATTACTCTACGGGCCACCAGGGACTGGTAAATCATATCTGGCGAAAGCGGTGGCTACAGAGGCAAACAGTACCTTCTTCAGTGTGAGCAGTAGTGACCTTGTCTCAAAATGGATGGGTGAGAGCGAGAGGTCAGCTTTCCGGTTTCGCAGTTCTCAGTGAAAACCAAAGTAGCTAACAAGCATCTCCAGATTAGTGAAGCAACTTTTCAACATGGCCCGCGAAAACAAACCCTCAATCATCTTCATTGACGAAGTCGACGCCCTCTGCGGCCCCCGCGGTGAAGGCGAGTCCGAGGCCTCGCGACGCATAAAAACCGAACTACTCGTCCAAATGGACGGTGTGGGTCGGGACTCCAAGGGGGTTCTTATCCTCGGTGCTACAAACATCCCTTGGCAACTTGATGGTGCGATACGGCGGCGGTTCCAACGAAGAGTGCACATAAGTTTGCCAGATCTGCCGGGAAGGATGAGAATGTTTGAGATGAGCGTTGGCACCACGCCGTGCGATCTGAAATCGGAGGATTTTAAGACGTTAGGGCAGCTGAGTGAGGGTTATTCTGGTAGTGATATCAGCATTGCAGTGCAGGATGCCTTAATGCAGCCTGTGAGGAAGATTCAGACTGCTACGCATTACAAGAAGGTACGTCTTGTCCACTTCCAAATTCGCGAGGCTTTTATTGACGATATTGACTAGGTCACGGTCGACGGAGTTGAGAAGCTAACGCCTTGCTCGCCTGGCGACGCCGGTGCCATGGAGATGTCATGGACAGAAGTTGAATCAGACAAGCTGCTCGAACCGCCACTTGTTCTAAAAGACTTTGTCAAGGCTGTCAAGGGAGCGAGGCCGACGGTCAGCGCGGAAGATATCAAGAGGAGCGCCGAGTGGACAGCAGAATTTGGCAGCGAAGGGGCATAAAGATTTATTTCATGTGGCATTCCCCACATCATGAATAAGCAAGGCGTTGGTGCGCCAGGGTATGGAGCATTATTAGGTCTATGGGGCATTCGATATTGACTGACTGCTTGTCTACACGACGACATCCAAAAGGATCTTGGCTCCACAGTCCCGTCTGCCACCTCTCCTCCATTTGACTGTACCTCGTTCCAGCCACCACTGTTCTCCGGCTTCTCAGCCAGAGACCTCGTGGTACCACTGCCATTTCAATGACAAGACTCGTCTACTTCCATTGTTCGTGAGGACGGTGTTTGCTAGATCTACTTCGGAATCTCCATGCATCTACGACCAGCTCGTCTGCCGAAAGCTCTCATACATTGAACGTTTGCAAACCGCATGCCATGTCTTAGCATCACAAGTTGATATTCCACCGTCCACTTGTCTGAGATCACTTGATTACGAATATCGTACATACATGGAGATAACGTGGACGAAGGAAGGATTGGCTTAGCGAACTTGGCACGTCTAAGGCAATTCCCGAGACCCTTACTCCGGGAGCCTCCAGTAGATATAACAACGGGAAATTTTCAAGCAAAATAGTGGACATACAAATCGAGGAATAAAATAAACGCAGCTGCACCATCTTTACAGCAAGCGTTTGACTCGATGGCCAAATCCTACTGAGTGAGGGTCGCTAAGAGTTGAGGCAAGAAGCTGACTGTGATCTGTAGAGTACTGGGCCGGGTCGACTCGGGAAGCTGCATCGGTCACACGCTCACACATCTGTACCTTCCTTCCTTTACTCTTTACTCTTTTCTCTTTTCCTCCTTTGCCAGGGCCGTTCTCAGCTCCTTCCGTCAGTCGAAAGGGTCTATCCTTCTAAGTGTCTCTGTTATCTATGCAAGGTAGCGAAGGATAATCGCTGATGTTATGGACGGGCCCTTTCTGAGAAGGCCTGAGGAGGCCTGAGCACAGAGTCATGTGAGAATCCTCCATATACTGCACTTCGCAGACGTGTTTTCGGGGCCAATCAGCACATAGATGCGTCTACTGACAAATCGCAAGCATACGCCTCTTCATGCGGCCGGAGGACTCAGCTTGCATACATGCTGCAAATATTCAATCTGAGACATATCTTAAGCGCCAACTATTCTCTTTCCTCTTTTCCCCGCTTCCAGTCTGTCCATACAGCTCCTCCAATCCAGCCACTCTGACTACCTGAATATCTGAACTCTGCACAATCTCCGAAGACCCAGACGGTCACCGTCTGCCCCTACGTTCTTCCTGATAAAGGAGCTGGAGGAGATGCTGGGCATATAATGCGTATTGCCGTCGTCTCAATCAGTCAAGCTCGATGCTAGCTTACTACATATAACATCTTAGTGTTGCCCACATATCTTTCTCTACACCTTTTCTTTCTCCCATGAGCATCTGTCCCCTGAGAGAGCCGTCATGTCTCCTTTGGCATTGCTAAAAGATACTACTTCCTACTTCTCACCACTTCTGACCGGTGCTGTTGCCGCCTTCATATTCTTCCTTTTCGCCAAATATATCTATCGTGTCACCTTTCATCCTCTTGCCACCTTCCCGGGCCCAAAATTGGCAGCGCTCACCAGCTTATATGGAGCCTCCTACGACTTGCTTCCCGATCGCTCATACTGCAAACAATTTCCTGCTCTTCACGACAGATATGGTCATATGAATATTCTTATCACCAACGATAGCTGCTGATTTGATATGCTATAGGACCAATCGTAAGAACATGGCCGAATCACCTCCACATCCGTGACATGGGCGCCTACAATCAGCAAGTCGCCTATCCCCTAGTTCCATTCACTACTTACATTGACCAGAATTTTCAAAGCGGGCGGCGTTAACTTCGACAAACACGCCCCCTTCTACGCGGTCCCCCAGTTCAAAGACGCCTACTTCCCCATCGCCTCGACCAAAACTGCTCTCGCTCGTAAGAGCATGCACTCTCCTCCCTTCTCCAAAGAAGCCGTCCGCCGCTCCGAACACTTAATCACGGACATGCTCGCCAAATTTCTCGACCTCCTGTCCGGCTATGTCCCGGGAGCGAGGCCAGTGGATCTCACCATGGGCTTGAGGTGCCTAACTGCGGATATAAGCATGAATTATGCGTTTCAAAGACCTTTCAATGCGCTCGATGAAGATGGGTTTCAGTCCCAAGTGATAATGGGAACGGATGCGAGTTCACGGCTATTCCAGTGGCTTGCTTATTTCCCCAGGTTCTTTGGAGGAGTCTTTCGGGTGGCGGAGAATCTGCCGCAGTGGTTGATCAGGAGATATATGAGACCCTTTGCGCTTGTGAATTGGTGTTTGGAGGTGAGTGCAATACGCCCTGTGTACGCTGGTTGTCCGACTCTTGGGCTCATGATGGCACGAACAGGCATGTCGCGACCAAATCGCATACTTACAAAACCGTTCTCCTTCGGAAAAAAAGATACGTACGGTATTCGACATCAATCTCAACCCCAACCGCGAGAAAGGACAATTCACGCCTACGACTAGTGAAATGGGAGCGGATGCATTCGCGTTGTTGGTGGCTGGCACGGACACTGTGGCTATTACTACGGTGATGATTACATGGGCGCTTCTGAACAATCCGCAAATGATGCAGAGGCTGAAGGCCGAGTTGAGAGAGGTGATGCCTGGTCGGGAGGACACTGTTGACTGGGCTGGGTTGGAGAAACTGCCATATCTGGTAAGCAAGCGCTTTGGAGACAGGGTCTTGTGTCATCCCAATCAACGCTGACCGACAAAAGCGCGCCGTCATCCGAGAAGGTCTCCGCCTTGGCTACGGCGCCCCAGGACGCCTTCCCCGCGTCGTACCATCTTCAGGCGCCGTCTTGTGCGGACAGAAAATCCCGGCCGGAGTACGCATTCCCCACCCACCCCATCTCCCCAACACCCACTGACCAAAGACCCTCGACAGACCGTCGTCTCTTCCAGCACCTACGTCTACCACCAAGACCCGCACATCTTCACCGACCCCCAGACATTCCGTCCCGAGCGCTGGCTCGCCCCTCCCACCGGCGGATCGAGCGAGATGGACGCCAAATTCGTGCCGTTTTCCAAGGGCTCGAGGTCGTGCATCGGCATCAATCTCGCCTACGCCGAACTCGACCTCATCGTCGCGCACCTTTACCGTCGGTTCGACGTTTCGAACGCCGGTACCACGGACGCGGATATGCAATGGAAGGACTGCTTGGTGCCGGTGACGAAGGGGCACTTGAAGGTTACGGTGAAGGAGAGCGTGGACTGAGGGATCGAATCGCCTTTTACTTACTCACTCTGTGACTGAACGAATCTGCTATGAATGACAGCGGCTCGAGCATTGTGGGGTCTGGAGGCTTTTGGTTATGGAGATGGGGAAAGGAGGATACACACATCCACGCTCGAGATCTTTGAAATTGAATCACAGGGTTTTCTCTGTCGGTTCTGGTTACCTGCTTTGTATTTACGGTGTGCAAAACGCATTCTTCGCTTGTTGCCCTCCCCACCCAAAACTGGTCCGTAGTCAACAACAGCCCTCGATTCCACCATCCATTGCCATTTTCACCAAGTGAATTCTGAACCTAAAAATCCGCCCGCATAGATAGACTGATCCGGGTGTTTTAGGTCCCTAGTCCTTTCCTCACGGTACGCCTTACATACAGAACCACCAAAGAACGGAATCAATGGCCGTTGCCGACTACGTTGGGCGGGGGCAGCAAACAAACAAAGATACCCAAAAAAAAAGCTTTGCACACCGCCTCCGTATCCATCTCGAGTTATGAGACGACCGAACGGAATGGTAAATGTACAGATTTCGATCCTAGCAGGCGCGAAACCGCCTTTGGACGCCTCAAAGCATCACGCGAGCCGTGACCGCCGCGTTGTTGTACACTTTCTTCTCCCTTTCTTTCATGACGATGTGCCCGCATTTCTTGAGAAGGAGGAGGGAAAAGAAGGGGGAAAAAAACGAGACCGCGTCGAGACGCCCTCGTATCCAAGACCACGCTCCGACCCGGCACCATGCGTCACGACGAAACAAGACGCGAAACTAACCCACCCTCACCCTCTCCTCCTCCCGCCCGTTCCTCCTCTCCGCCTCGCCATCACCATCACCATCACCATCACCCAACAACAAGCCCCTCCTCACCCTCTCCCTCTCCAACTCGCCCTTGAGCCTCCGATTCTCCTCCGCGCCCTCCTCCAACCTCTTCCTCGCTCCGCTCCGATCCAGCAGTCGCGCCTCCCTCTCCGCCTTCAACCTCCTCTCCAGTTCCCTCAATCTGTGGATCCAGCGCTGCTGCGTGGGCTCCATGGGCGCGGAGACGACGTCGGTGTTGGCGTTGGCGGGCAGGTGGGATGAAGATGCGTGGCGGGAGGGGGAGGCGGGGTTCATGGCGTTGGTGAGATGTTCGACGGCGGAAGAAGAGTGGTGGCGCGCCAGCGGCGGAGGAGCCGCGCGATTGGAGCTGTCGGGGGCGGCGCGTGAGCTGCCGGCTCTCAAAGCGTTGCGGGCGTGCATTTCCTGTTTCTGCAGGACTGCGATTTCGGATTTGAGGAGGCGGTTTTCGCCCTTTAGTTTGGCGATTTCGGGCGCGGCGGTGAAGGTGCCGGAGATGCGGTGGGATTGGACTGTGTTTTCTAGGCGATCCAGTTTCTTGATGCGAGCGTCGAGGGTGTTTTCGACGGACTGGTATTCGGTCCAAAGTTCGCGCTCGATGGCGCGGATGCGGGCTTGGAAGCCGATGATTGTGCCTTCGATGTTTTTGACGGCGTTGAGGAGGTTTTTGCTGAAAGTGGGGAGCATGGAGGAGTTGTTGATGACGTCGAGGGTAGGGAGATGGTTGTTGACGAGGGAGTTCTGGTGTTGCCAGTCTTGGCCGCAGATGGCGGAGACACGGGTCCAAAGGGTGAGGAGGAGAGTGTTGCGTTCTGCGAGCTGGTCTTTGAACTGGGACTCTAGGGTCGAGAGTTTCTTGCGGTCCGATTGACGCGAGGTTTCGAGTTCGGTGATGCGAGTGTCCTTTTGGGAGACAGTGCGGCTGGTGTGTTGATGTGTCTTCTGCCATTGCTCGTGTTGGGCTTTGTCCGCACGGCGACCTTGACGCTCGCGGTCGAGGAGCTCGGAGAGCTTTTTCGATTCTAGACCGTGGCTTTCCAGGAGGGCGTCCCGGTTCTTGAGAAGACGGTCCTTCTCCGATAGGTTGTGCTGGGCAGTCTCTAGCTCTGTTGCTGTAGTCTCCAGGTCTTTCTGCAGCCTTGTGATTGAAGAAATGAAGGATGATCTCGTTCCACTCGGATCGCCGAGCACTTCTCGTAGATGGCTCTCGAGCTCCGTCAGTCTCTCCTTCAAGGATGTAGCCTCAATCTCACGCGACTGAAGGCTCTTCTTCACCTTTCTGGACTCCTCCTGGGCAGATGATAACTCGTGGTTGAGATCATTGGTCATCTTCTGCACCTCCTGCTTTTCTTTTCCACCAATGACTTCCCGCTGGTGCCGTTCCTCGGCCAATCTCGTCTCCAAGTCCAAGACACGGTCCTTCTCACTGGACAGGCTGGCCTTGAGGTTATTGAGGGCATCCTCAAGGTCACCAATCTTGATCTTATCGCCATCTTGCTCTTCCCGTAGAAATGAAATCTCGTTCTGGCCAGACTCTTGTTGGACTGTGAGCTTGTTAATCTTGTCCCGTTCCTCTCGCAAGTCCTTGTCCATGGAGTCTGCTTCGTGGCTGAGTTCCTCGAGCTCGAGCTGCAAGTCTCGAACCCGTTTGCTCTTCCCTTCAATCTCCTCTTCTACTCGAAGAATGCTTTCACTAAGTGTTCGAACTTCCTTGCGTAGCGCTTCGGAATCTTCCGCGTGATTTGAAAGCTCATTGTGAAGGTGTTGTAGCTCTCGAGTCTTCTGGTCGATCTCCTCCTCTAGAGCACCTATTCGTTCGTTGCCTTCGGCTTTCAGATCTTGCAGTTCAGCTTCCATGTCCTCCTGTAGCCTGAGAGCCTCATCTCGTTCGGCTTGCATTGTCTTTAGATCTTCTGTAGCCAGGCCAACGTCATTGTCGTAAAGTTGCTTGAGATCCTCATGCTCGAGCTTGACAGCATCAAGTTGCTCAAGCTCATCCAACAGCTCTTCAAGCTTCTTTGTCAGATCATGAATCTCAAGCTTCAGTCCAGCATTCTGATCACGCAGTTGGCCATTCTTGAATTCGTAAGCGTCGCGCTCAGCATCACTCAACTGAGTTGTGCGAGTCTGATCACTTGCTCGAGAAGGCGGACGACCGTGAGCACGAGATGCTGACCGCTCAAAGATACTGTCTCCAGCTATTGAGCGCGTTCCATGGCGTGAGCCAAGCTTCAGATCTTCAATCTCCTGGTACAGGCGCTCTTTCTCTCGGTTGCGGGAAGTAAGCATCGACGTCTGCGCACCAACCTCGCGACGTAGCTCGGCGTTTTCGTGTCTCAGTTGCTCCACAAGGGTGCTGCTTACAGTGCTACTGCCACCGTTGCGATCTTGCTGGTGGTCTGAGATGTCGTTGTAAGAGAGAGTAGATGATTTCTTCTCCCGTCGGTTGACATGGTAGACATTTGCAGCGTGGTTGTTGGTGGTCGTCGAGGAAGCATCACTCTTCAGTCGTCGAATCTCGTCTCGGAGTCTAGCATTATCTTCGTCTGCCTGCTCTCGACGTGCAGTCTCGGAATCGAGAAGGTCCTTCCACATGTCCTACATTGCCTTGCATCAGTACTCATAAATGTCTTGGAGAGGTTCCAAAACTTACAACTTCTTCATGAACGCCAATGTCAGCGGCTCCATTGGATTCGCTAGCCCGCTTCAGCATCTCAGCGAGTCTGTTCTTCTCCCTTTCCTGGGCAAAACCTTCATGACGCATCTTTTCAACCTCAACCTCGTAAGTCATCACTCGCTCCCTGAAATAAGTCAATTCGTTCTCCATGAACTGGAAATCCTCGGAACTTGGACCGGTTTCAATCTTCTCGGGAATAGGTGCTTCTGCTTTTTTCGCGAGCTCATCTATCTTCTCCTGCAGCTTTCGCTCTAGCTCTCGGTTGGTACGCTTGAGTTCTCGCATCTCCTTTGCAGACTTAAATTTGGCCGTCCGGAGATCAACGTTCTCGGAGATCATGGCCTTGACACCTTCGTCTGACCTCCTGCTCAATGCATCGTCAAGAAAATTGATCTTCAGCTTGAGATCCCAATTCTCTTTCATCAAACGGTCGATGGTGCTACTTTGTTCTTTAAGAGTCAGGCTTTTGCCGCCACGCGCGGAAGGAGTAGGAGCGCCATGTCTCTTCTCGGGCGACGGCTGCCCGTGGCTATCTCTGTACTCTCGAGCCATAGTTGCTGGTACCTCGATATCTCGTACATGCTGTGCAATCACGGTGTCAGTTGGCGTGTTGATGCTTCTGCTTGTGGCTCTAGGCGTCTGCGGTACTATGTGATCGTGTCCTCCTGCCTTCAATGTGTCTTCTCCCGCAGTATCATCCTCTTCCTCCAAGGTGTGCAGATCCCTCTCTGTTGGTCTTATCCTATCTTCGCGATCACTGAGGTCTGATATGCCAGATGCCATACTGCCCAGACTGATGGTCCTGGAGAAATCTGAGGGTCTGCTACTAAGAGAGCCCTGAGGTACAGCACCACCAGATTGCAACGCGAAATCTGCCCCCACTGTCACCTCACTTCCACCTTCTGTAGATGTAGTTGTGTAAGAAGAGTAAGAGGAGCTTTGGCTTGCCATGCGGCTGCTGAAAAATTTGGGCCTCTTCTGAGATCGCATTGAGCCTAGATCATCGGTGGCTTCATCGTTTTCTGGTGGTTCTGAAGGCTTTGTTGGAGTTGGTGAACTTGCGCGCGATGATGAGGCAGATACGACTCGGAATTTCCGAGGAGTTGGGTGATCATCGGTCTCTGCCCCTGGGCTCGACTGCTCCAACGCTATGCCACCTTTGCTGTCGTCTGCCGTCTCATATCCTCCATCCATTGAAGCCATGGATGCTGCGCGAGACACTGTACGAGCAGCGGCCGCGGCGGTTGGCGAAGAAGACATAGTTTCGAGTGAAGAGGTGTTGTAGTGCCCGTGATCAATTTCTGTGTCTAAAAAACCCCTTGATTGTAGTTCCTCACGCCCCGGAGCTGGAGTCTGATACAGTTCGGGCGGTGTAGCAGGAGAATGCGTCATAGTATCCTGGTCCCCGCGAAACGGGTCCATGGACTGCTTGTAGTTCTCTTCGCTCGCTTGTTGGACCGTCGCAGCATACGAATTGGGATGATGCTGGCTGAAGTCCGCGGAGTCGTCTGTTCTTGTATGCGCAGCTGGGGACACCTCTGGCAGGAACGTCGAATCTACATCCTCAAGCCGCATCCGCATCTCCTTCTCTTGCAGGAATGTATCCCCTTCTCCGGCCATCATACTTCTGCCGTCGTCGCTCGGCGCATTCAGGCTGTCATCTCCGGGGTGTGTTTGCGTAACGGATGTTGCCTGCGACTGCAAATGAGGTTCATGACGCTCAAAATCGTCATGATCGAAAGATGTCTTAATGGGAGATAGGTCTTCATCGGTGTCGAAGCCGCCTGGCACTCTTGAGACTTGCCGAGCGACTGTAGGCCTCGTTGGTGTAGCCATTGAGCTTAGCCCAAGAGCTTGTCGCTCCCATGCACAATGTCAATTACTTGACATTCAGGGGCGAGGGCAAGAGGACAGAGCATGAAGCCAATATATCAACATACTATTGGTGATGTGTGGGGTCGTGCGGGTTGTGGGTGGAGTTGCAGACTGCAGTCCAGATTCCGCGTCGCCGAGCGCGCGTGACGAATCGGGACTAGCCTCGTCTTCCCCTGTGCGGAGTACTACAGGTAGATAGATACGTCGTTCTACGCATCTTTAGTTACGAAGTTCAAGCTCCTGGCTACTGAAATCATACAGCCCATTTGTGCACAACGTCAAGGCTTGCCTCTCACATCATTTCTTTTATGAAGAAGATACTACATAATTCGAAGACATACATCCCCTGTCCAGATGACCATCGGCCCAGATCAACCTTCCAGCGTTCAATCTGGGGGTAAGTCTTCTTGCTGTACATGCCTTGAAACCTAAACGCTTTCCAGGAGTGGATATGGAATGGAGAAAACCCATCTTCTGAAGAGTCACCTTGGGAGGAAGAGGACTTGTTCTCCGACTCGTTCTCGTCGTTGCTTGGTTGATAGCGTGTCCCAGTCCGTTCATAGTAAAGCCAACAGTCCATACAGACCACTTCGTCTCTGAAATACCTGCAAGTAGGTCGAGTTGCCATCGTCGTATGGTTTTCACCAGGGTCTTCTTTCAATTTAGGTTTGGGCGGGAGCTCGTCGTGGTCAACAATGGCAGCATCTCCAGCAGTACCAACAGCGTCCCTTCTAGTGTCGAGGTTCGTAATTTCCTCTTCCCCCAATCTCGAAATAGGGAGGGCCGTACTGTCACGGTGTAGCCCTAGCTTGAAATCTTCGAGAAAATGTGTCCAATGAGGTTGCACTCTGAGACTCCGGATATATTCATTGCAATCGCTGCAAGTCCAAAATTTTGCAAGATGAAGACCAGGTCGATGATCATGTGCGAGTAATTTATGCAGAGTTCCCCCCCAGCCAGCGTGCACCATAGGGTATCGCTCCAGTTCTTGATCTACGAAGTTCTCAAGATCCACCCCATGACTGACGAATCCGCGCAGCCAATACGAAAATGCCCATGAAGAGTACATTGCGATAGACGTTGGTGATTCTTTGTACGGTGTGTAGTCATTGTCGAGGCCGAGTTGATGGAGGTCTGGCCCCCTTTCGAGTACCAGACTAACGTCGCCTTCACAGTATACTATGTGGAAATGAAGTATAGTATACCCATCTGAACCATAAGGGGGTATATTAATGAGTCCACTTCCACCCAGATTCAACAGTAAACCAGATGCTTCATTTTGCCGGGCCCGTGAAGGATAGGTGTAATACAATAACCTTGCCCATTGTGTTTCATGGGCATATGTCTTTAGTTCAAAGCTCGATAGCCGTAGCATCCAAAGTAGAAGACAATTTTTGGCGTCTGTGTCTCCATGTCCAAGGATATCCTTTGATTCACAAAGCGCAAAAAGCACTCCCCAGAGCCGATGAAAAGGCGGAGAGTATCGAAGACTTCGGACAGGATGGTGTGAGTGGTAGTTGTTGACTTGTGTGCCGCGAGATTTACTGGATTCCTGACTCTAGTGTCAATATCTATGACTCCCCTGGGGGTTCACGAAAAAATTTGGTTCATTTACCATTCACTGTAATAAGGCATCCCTTGGACAGATGAATTTACGTCTGCTCCAGCATCCATAAGGAACCTGCAAAGCTCCGGATGATAGTTCTCTGCAGCAAACTTGAGGCAAGCGTTAGTCGCTTTCAGATTTCCAAATTACTCGGGCGTTACGTAGGATTGATCTGACTGACAATACTTACATGGAGAGGTGTGTATGCTTCAGGATCAGTGTCCCTGATTGAAGCGTGGCATTCTGACAGCAAAGTTCTGACGGCATGTACGTTCTCTTGTCTACAGAATTGAAAAAATTAAAGCGTCATCAGGTACTCTGCACACGGTGCTCAGTGTGCTCTTCCATCCCTGAGTACTGGAGGAGAGAAATCCAAAACGGATACCATAATGGATACCAAGACGCATCAGCCATGGAGCTGGAGAAATCATGTACGACGTCTCATATTCTTCTTGATTCGTGTCGCGGCAGGATGTGACACTATCTGCTTCCCTTGTTGTGGAAAGCGTTATACTTGAGGTTGCGCGGATAGTGCCAAGGAAGCATCCTGTGGCAGATTCTGGCCCTCTCAAATTCCGTTTGATTTTTGCCTGCTTTGGTCGTGCACTCCAAGGTCCGCTGAAGCCTTGCTTCTCGCCCGGAACAAGATACAAACCACCTGCAGAGTCGTCCGTAACATGCCTTTCTTCTGCACGAAGAGCAGAATGGTTCGAAAGAGCCGAGGCTGTACCTGGAAGTCTTCCGGCTATCTGTGAATGCTGTTGCATGCTTATATCGGGAATACCTTGGGTAATGGTGACCAGGCTCTGTTCTAAAGTGATATGTCGATTTCGACCCAAGCGACTGGTGGTAAAGTTTTGAGGTTAGCGTTACTCTCGGTCTGTACCAAAGATACAAAGTGAGAGAATATCCCATCCATCCACTAGTAAGAGATGTATTTGTTGTTCCGGGATTGAACTCAGACACTTTGTTCTTTTCCGAACCGCTTCTTGTGGCGTTACCAAGGCACCTGGAACACCCTCAAGAATTTTACCACATTACCAGCCGATGGAATGGTCTTGGCTCGAAGATAAGGAGTCGCTGTCAGACTCACCTGTTCTGATTCTGTTGCACTAGCAATAAGGTGCCGTTCAACCTCTCTAAGGCTTCCTGAAGTTTCGTCAATTTCCCAGACTTCAATACGGCCTTGAAAGCGGTCCATTTGCGAACACGCGAGCTCGTTGAAGCGAAACCCGGTTCAATCTCGTTGAGGAGTGTGACGAGTCTTTTGACCTTGAAAGAACAAGCATCCAAGGAGGCTAAGAGCGTCGCGTTAGGCCCCACGTGTTGTGCCTCGCAAGCTATGTCGGTAAGAACGCCCGACAGCAGTTCCAAGTCTGTAGATATTTCCTTTATGTCTGATGGCGCTTCTTTGATGGATTCCCAAAAGTTACATAGCTTCTTAACGCTGTCAGCCAGCTGAACGGCAAGAGACACTACGGCGATACTGCTCGCGGCGGCAGACAGGCCTTCCATAGTTGTTTATGCCAGGACGTAGCCGCGATTTCGTATGCTGAGGGACATACATGCCAAAGGCACGGAAATTTTACATTTCACGGAGGACCGACGTGGAAGACAGGTTTCTGCAGCCTGACCAGGGTTATCTAATCGAAACCATTCCGATACCAATGAGATCGCTTCCTTACCCTCCCTATTCATTCTCACCATCGAGGGTTCTGTTTCTCAAATCTTCTCGTGACTTGACGGATATCAGGACCTCGGTATTGAATTTCTTGCGTTGCCCAGCATTTTATTGTCCATGGCGGGCACGGATCGTTCTGACATGTTCCATTCTCTCTCTCGCAGCCTGATGCTATCCTCCGCCTGGTGAGCTCCCTGTTCGTAATCATTGGCGGTAACCCTCTTCAACCCGCCCATGTGGCACAGTTTTATGACCCATGGCGGTTTAAATAGAGAGAAGTGTCGAGATTGCGTGTGATGGTGAAAGCTGGTTCATGCCCACTGTGGCAGCCATTTCCGAAGCCACCTGGACTGGGCTGGACGCGATTCTAGGTGTTTAGGTTTCGTGGCCACGTGAATGGAAAGATGAGGGTAGAGCGCTCACCAGCCAGATGGAGTGCCTTATCACTCTAAAAGTGGCAGCCTCGGGTGAGCCACGACAGAGCTGGGAGCACTCGTAGCCAGTACCATGTACAGTTGCATCCCATCGCTGGCCCGAGCGCCCTTGGAGATCCGCACATTTAGATAGTAGTCCAGGTGAAAAGACGGCGTAAAAAGGCGTAGACTGGGCGCGCGTGACGAATCGGGTATAGTCTCATCTTCCTCTACACGTAGAATATATCAATAGGGACTATTTGCTAGATATAGAAATACGTTGTTATGAGCATCTTTATAATGTTCATCCTCTGTGTTTATATGATTGTACTTATATTTTTTTCGCATAGAGGATTTCGTTTTTCCTTTACGAAGAAGACGCTGCATAACCCGATGGCATCCTTGTTAAGAAGACATTCTTATACATCCCCTTTCCCGGAAGCCACCGACTCAGATCAGTGTCCCAGCGCTCAACCTCTTTAAAACCATGCTTTAGATATAAGCCATATCCCTGATCCGTTGCTACAATAAACCCTGGCACTTTCATCTCTTCGAGTTTGTCTGTTCCCCACTCCATGAGCATGGATCCGACGCCTCGGCGTTGATATATTGGCAGCGTGGCGAGAGCGACCAATTCTATCGAAATAAATGGTCAGTGGTCAACAGACAGACCGATTGCGCACTAGATGGCTGGGATGTGTTAGGCTGGAGCGAACTCACCCCACCACCTCGTATGACCCATGACTTTGCGTCTTAAATCCTGGTCCTTGACAAGAAATTCGCCCAATATATCCATGTTCGCGTCCGGATATGCATTCAACGCTTCCTTTCTCGCACGCGCCCAGTCTTCGTCGCTCATTGCCTTTGTATATTCCCAGACAGCACATCCAGCCATCTTGTCATTGTTATCCGTGTCGACAATTTTGAGGGCGTAGTTGTCGGGATCATCAATAGCTTTTTGACGACTCTTCACCATTCTGTCCATGTGGGCCTGGCTCATACCGGTTGGAAGTATGATGGCTGTAAAGGCATTGCTCTCGTAGCTTGCCACCCGGAGCGTAGCTGCTTCAGGTACATCTTCCTTGGCCATTGGACGTAATTCGAAAGGCATTGTGAGACGGTGAGAAAAGTATTGAGATCTTTGCAAATTGAGCGAAACGACAAAACTGTTATAAGAGAGAGCAGAGTCGCAGAGGAGCCTCTGCTTTATACTCTTGAGTCACGTACTTTAGCTAGTAATTATGGATCGCCCGACCCTAGGCAAACGCGACGGTGCCGGTCAATGGAACGCAGATTAGAAAGGAGAAGGAGCAAGTAATGCGGTCAGCGAGATACAAAGATACTGGGAATCATTAGCTCCACGATCAGGCAGCGGTCAGTCCACGCCCACTCCATGCTTGCTAGTGTCACTTTACACCGACAGCCATTGGCATCCTGGCGGATTATAGTCTCAGTATTCAGACTCGCTTAGGGGGGTACCCTATGGCCAGCCCTACACTCGTTCCTCGCTTCGGGGGCCAATCATATCGCAAGCTCATTACGGCATACCCCCCCTCTAGAGTCTGAGTAGGAAACCCTGGAATCGCTACATTGGCCGTTATTTTGTATGGGATCCTCACCAAAATTGACCGAAATAGAAAATAAGTAGTTTCTTTTATATATAACTTTTTACTACGCACTCTAATAAAAAAATAATGCTTTATAAAATAACTATTTAAATATCGTAGAATTAGATTTTTTTTTCGATTTTTAATAAAATATTTTAATTAATTATTTCCAGAAGATTTAAATTAGAGTTTTAAAAACTATACTTTTAACTCCCCTCTTATTCTTTAACGTGCACCGAGAAAACCTCAGAAATAATCTTAAAATATTCGTTATATTTATAAGTTTATTTAAGAATATTATTATAGAATAAGCCAGGCCAGTTTTTATAAATTTATATTTATTAAATATTTATTTAATATTTATTTATTTAAGCTATTATCTTAAGTAATTTATTAAATATATTTAAATTTTAAATTATTATTCAATAATTTATAGATATAAGTAAAGATATATAAAGTTTTATTAATATTCTTTTTTATTTAATTTAATTATTATATTACTTTAAGATTTTTAGAAAAAAAATTAAAAAGCTTAATAACTTTAAAGACTTCGAACTTCAAATTTAGAAAATTTGATATATTATTATAATATATATTAAGAGTATATTTATAAATTTTTATAAAAAGGGATGGTTCGGTTATCGAGTAATAATATATCGAAGTTATAGATTATTAAGTCGTAAAAATAGTTTCGGGGTAGCTTCGGGGTAGCTCGCTCCGGGCCAAAGCTACCCCGAAAGTTACTAATGCTGATATATACGCAAGGGTAAATATCTCATATCAGCCAAACCACCAAAAAAATGAGGCTTGGCAGGGTTTCCTGCTCAGACCCACTGCGTGGGGCCACTGAGACTAGGCGGATTACTGTTATTCTCTACAGGTACCGTGCATCATGGATATCTAAAAAGGATGTCAAAATGAACGACATCACCCTAGTATTAATTGTTCGATGTGATGAAGCTGAGAGACTGAAAGCGTGGAGCTGGCTGATAGATACCTTAAGGTAAGTAGGCTTTGAGTCTTGAGATCCAGCGCCAGACCCCTGCTTCCTGCGCGCCCGCAACTTCCCTGCCACCAAAATTCATTCCAACCTCTCCGCCAAGACATCGAATCACTTGCCCAACAGAACTGCTCCCATCTGCACTTTTGTTCATTCCTTCTGCAACCTTCCGATATTATACAGAAGACTCGCAGCGCTTCTTCCGCGTTGCACAATTGTCACCTCGAAGCTCAAGAGGTCCACCCGTCTGCTCTGATCGAACGGTCAAATCGCAAGCTTCCACGCCTTCGTGCGCCCCCACCGTCCAATCACCCTCGGTGCTTCGCTGGTGAAGAAATAAACGCAAAAGATACTGAACATCATACTAGTTGCATCTCAGCTCCCCAGACCTGGTAATCGCAGCTTTGCAGCTTCGGCGAAAAGTGCCCGAGGAGCCGTCGACAACAGCAAGAGCGGAGCGCCCTCCGACTATCTAGCGCGCAGAAGAGCGCTCAAGAACCTCTCGTACAAGCTTCACGACATCAGCTTCAGCAAGGAGAGCCTCCTGGAAACATTACATCTCTCACCACTATCTACACCAATCGCTGCCAACCACCGGCCCTCGCCTCTCATACACAATGGCCAACGAAGTCCTCATCCGCGTGCTCGAGCGAAAACGGAAATACGTGTGGCCCGAAGCGCAGCTCAACTTCTGGCTCATCGTCATGATAGCGGCTGCTGCAACCATAGTCGGTATATTCACCTACTTCATGCACCTGCAATCCATGTTCCATCTCGGAGTACCCTGGTATGCCTTTACCCTCACCTCTCCCGCCCCCCCCCCCCACAACCAACTTAGTGGCTAATAGAATATGTCCTCCGCTCAGGATATTCCCCTACAGCATAGCAACCGGCTCCATCTGCCTCCTCTTCCTCTTCATCATCCTCGTCCTAATCCAACAAAGACAACTCCTCCCCGGCATCGTCGTCCTCGGCTCCTTCATCCTCTTCGTCCTCTTCCTAACCGGACTCATCGAAACCTCCATCCAACTCTTCGGCCCCACCGGCTCCGTAAACAGCTACTGCAACCTTTACCGGCCGAGCTCAGGCCTGGCAAACTCCCAAGCGACACTGGCGTATTTGGAGACGCAGGGGATATGTCAGGATTGGAAAGCGGCGTTTTCCTTCTATATCATCGGGACGGTATTTTTGCTGTGGATGATGGTGATGGCGTGGCAGGTTAATCAGGATAATTTTGACTGAAAAGGGCATGGGAGATGCGATATGAGCGATATGAGCAAGTGTCCATACATAGCGTGCGGAGTCCGGCTGGATCTTGGGGAGCCACATTTACGTGTATAGTCTATACGATGGAAACATTACGTTTGGCAGAGATGACTTGCATATCTCGCCGGCCTTTCACATCCGCCACTGCTCAAAAGGTTGGGTGAGGGGAGGCAGAAGACTGGCTCCAGCCTCATCAATCCTGTGCTCAAAGCAGGGCTTCAAGCCGAGGGAATGCCACTCATCAAGGGCAGCACAACCCGGCAGAGTGCGCTTTTGACCGAAAGCTGGCTTGTGATCTCGAAATCTCATGTTTATACAGCGCCAGAACCGCCACTCTTTTGAGGCAGCTTACCTTTCGCAAGACATGGCAACATAAATGCAGTAGATCCTTCCGGAAACGACCAACCTCCGGCCGCCATACCCCGTTGACCGTGAGCCGGCTCTGACCCATGTCCCCGTCTCCATGCCGACTGTGAACGCCGGAACCTCCCAATTGCCGTGAACCAAGTTGCCATCAAAGCTCCTCCACTGTAGATTTCCCAGCCGTAGGCACCTGTTCCATCGTCTCTCTACTCTCACCCTCCGCCTTCTCCGTTCCCTCTTGCATCGATTTTTCCTTGCCCTCGATTTCCGCCTTTTCCAACGTGTCCTCAAACATTTCCTTCTCAGTCCTCTCCCTTTTCCACCCATCAGCAATCAACCTCGCCACATTCATCCCCATCAGCGAACTCGTCTCCATTGTACTGATAAAACTCTCGATTCCGCTCGTATACCACACCTTCCCTTCCTCATCCAGCTGCACATCCTCAAACGTAACTCGAGGCGGTAAGTACGGATAGCTCTGCCAGACTTTCTCGTAGATCCAGCTGATGTCCCTTTGGTCGTTTGTGTTTTGGGTTAGGATACTGTGAAGCCAGGAGGTGGAGATAGGGGCGGGGCTGAAGATTTTGTAAAGGTATTCGCGTTGGTGAGTGGCTGGGTTTGTGAGGGTGCGGAGGGTGGAGATGCTGTAGAAAAGTGGAGGATTGGCGTTGGTTTTGGGGGTCGTGGTGAGGATTGTTGTTGGGACGCCACTCTCGAGGTTGAAGGCCTGTGGATCAAGTTTGCGGGGGGAGGTGAAAAGCGTGACGTGCAGATTCACGTAGGGGATTTCTGGAGGTGGATTCACCGGAGCAGGGGTGAGACTGAGCTTTGCGAACTGAAGTGGAGCTGCGAAGACAACGGTATCGTAGACAGCGAGGTCGATACCAGAGGGATAGGAAGGCGAGAGCGCGTTGACGGCGTAGCTGCCGTCAGATTGACGGTAGACATTCGACACGCTGGTATTGAGCAGAACCTCTGCCCCAGAAGCTTTGAGCATGCCATCAAAGATCTGCCAATTGCCTCCCTGAATCGACATAGCACCATCCGTAGCCATGCAGACCATACTCTCCAGCCCATGTATCTTGTCGATATTCTGGGCATAGTTCACCCTTGTGCTCGCCTGGATGATATCCATCCCAAACGGGCCTTGAATGCCATTCGCATGCAGGAATTGTTCTCCAGTTGCCGCCGTGGCCTCGGTCAAACCGACGTCGTATGCCGTTTGAGACAGGTCCTTGAATGGAAAATGTGGCTCGTCATACATCTTGAGGAAGGCGCCAACCGTTGTTTTCATCAGCTGCTGTGTCCGGATGGGAGCCAAGCCATATTTCCATAATATCTTCGCTGTAGTCCACCAGCCACTCTCGCTTCCCATGAAGACCCAGTCGGTTCCATCGTAGACACCCAACGAGTTCGGCAGATCCTCGATCTTCGGCTTAAATCCCTGAGTCGCCAGACCGAACTCTCTAGTTGCAGAGACGAGATTCTTATTCACTTCCACGAAGATGCTAGCGCCCAGTTCAACAGGCTCCGTAGGGTCACCGTACACATCGACGGTGGTCGATCTACCTCCTACATAGCCCGAGCGCTCATAGACAGTAATATTGACCCTGCTGCAAGGATGCTTGAAGCGATCAAGATAGTAGGCAGCTGATGCACCACCGGAACCAGCACCGATTATAGCCACGCTCTTGACCGGCTCATTGGGGTCGCATTGGTATAATTCCGCATTCGGGAGCATTGCAACAACCCATTCTGTGTCCGAGGGCGAAGGGTAGAGCAAGAAGCAGACTGCGATAGCTAAGCAGATGAGACCGAGGACTCTACGACGCGACCAGAAGGCAGACCGAGAGGGGGGCTGTGCGGGTTCCATGCTGGCTAATTATTGATAGGTTTTATATTTTACGATCTCAGCACCAGTCATCTGATGTGAAGTAGAGACTTGTTTTGACGGCATAATTGAGGGCTGAGGCCATCAGCCTGCTGTATAAACAGGCGCTGGGGGAGGTGAGGCAAGAAGTCTACTTTACTTCCACGCTACAAGTAGGGCTTGGCATTCTGCCCTCCAGTAATTTGGGGGCAGCTATACAAAGGTCTGCACTGGAGATCGTGCACTTCGAGACGTTTGCGCCAATATTTCCGGCGACGTCTCGCCTAGAAGGTTGCCGAGCTGCTTTTGAGGATTTGCCTCGACACGACTATAACTACGTCGCCGACATCAAGGTCGCAACATTCTGCACTCATCTAGCCTGCTACTATATGCAGTGTAACAAAGTCATCAACGCTGACTCGACGTTGGACGAGGCTTTCAAGAACTGTGAATGTGGCGTCCACATTGGAACAGCAGACCCGAATGGTATTCCTGTTCTGATACCAATCACTTATATGGGCAGGTACAGGTTCTAAAGCATACTTGCAGGAGATCCTTGACTTGTCCAGTCTCGGACACATGTCTTGAGGGAATAATGAGGGTAAGGCGCGTACGTGGAGATCGCGTGCGAGTTCTTGAAGGGCATCGTTCACTTCAACGTTGGGGATTACCAGCGGGCGATAAAACTTCTTGAGCAGGTTCTCGAAGCGAGGGAGCAGATGTTCGTATCTGATCATGGTGATACCTTGAGTAGTAAATGTATAGTTGCCCTGTGCGGGTAGTCTCAACCGGACGGGGCGGGGAAAGTGTGTTCAAACTTTGCAATCTGCCCTCCATATCAATAGCTCCTTGTACAGACATATACTTGCCTTGGTACAAGCTTTGCGAGACACTGCAACACACAAACAGCAACTTTCAATGGCGCAGAGAGGACCTCGGTTGCGAAGCCTCCAGGATCTCTCTCTGCATGAAGTAAGATGCCGAGAAACAGGACACTCACCTCGAAAAAGCAGAGCCTGACAGGCAGAAGATTTCCCAGTTGACCGCCGCACCCTTCGGTGTTGATGATTCCATCGAGATGCGTGATGCCAATGGGGCCAGCAAAGGGGAGACACAATACTGGGCTCGAGTGGCAAAGGATTGGCGCCCGGAATGGGAATATTAAATTCTTGGAGATTTTGGGCGCCACATGGCAGACGATAGAAGGGAGATGGGCCGTTATGACTATGGCGTATATTTGTGGCGTAGATGTACGGCGGGTGTCTGGAGTACAATCGGCGATAGGTGGTGATTGCCTTGGCTTCTGGGTCGGATTTCTAGCTTGTCGATTCTGCTCATGGCATGCTTATGATTCGGGGGGAAGTGTGCATTCCGAGATATCGATATCAGTCCAAACACAGTGATAATCATGCGGTGGGGAGTTGTTCAGTGATTCCGAAAAGTACGACTTTTGATGCACTTGCGGTAGCAGCTCCATTGACTGACCATGAAAATGACTGCTGTCCTATGAGACTCATTACATTTGAGAGTTTCTCCCCAACTTTGCCATCTACACCCAGAGAATGAATCCACCAAGGTAGGCTCTTGATGGTCACGTTTCAGACCTTCTCAGCCGTGTGCTTGTCTTGGTACAGTTTTCTACCACGCTCGTCATTCCTCGCCGTATTGACAACCTATTCCTTCAAAACCTTCCAGCCAAATGGTGATATCTTTCTTCTAGGCGGTTGAGACAGACCTTCCAAAATTGCTTCAACGGACCAAAAGGGTATATACGCTGACCTACTTGATATATCATTAGGTGTACCTTGCCCGAAACCATTTCTCCCCGATCCGGCAGGGTTTCCATTCTCTCAAGGAGTTCACGAAATAGGCTCTCCGCTTGCCCGTCCTCTCCTACCCTTCTCAACAGGTAAACCTTTACAAGACCTATGAACAGGCTGTTGCTTCCTCGACACCAAGTTCGAAATGTTTATAGAACCCGTCCAGTGCCTGTCGAAGAAGTCCTCTACTCTCATCGTCCTCATTATCCTATCCTTCCCGTACCTTATCCAAGGCTCCAAACTCCAGCCCCCCCCGCACAGTATCGTTTTCTCTACCTCGACAATAAGCCACTAGATCGGCAGATGTGGAAGTATCGAAATCTTTACGACCCAAAATCTCAGATCGAATCTCGAGCGATTCAGTTGCGTGAGCGACTGCCGAAGCTTCGTTTCGATACGACAACGCCAAGAGTGCCGATGCGAAATGAAGGCTTGCTTGCGCCAGTCTGGTCTCTGCGGTTGGATGATGCAGCTGCACAGCTAGCAGTGTCTGGTGGTGAGTTCTCCAGGGAATCATTGATCCACGCATGGACATCCGGGTGTAGGGCATGGGGGGAAGGGATATTCTGAGACTGAGGCAAAATCTTTAGGATAAGGCGTCATCGTTGGCATCTGCGCTTGGAAGCGTTGGATCGCCTGGGACGCGAACGCATCTTCTTTGTCGGTTTTATTCTCTTTGAGCCACTGGCGAGTGGCTAGTTGGACCAGCCGATGCATGCTATATGATTTCCAGTCAAAATCGGCGTTAAAATCGTCATCATCACCGTTCTCCTCTCGTACTTGATCGTCGCCTGTGACAAAGGAGAAGGCAATCAGGAACTCTATCGAGTCCTCGAAGTCCAATGGATCAGTATTTTCGCTTTGCAAACACGATCTAGGAATACTTTGACGATCGAAATAGCTCATAATGGACAACAAATCAGCAGCGTTAGGATGTTCTGCTCTCAGGTATTCGAAGGACACAATAAACGTCGTTGCCAGGGACTCCATTCGCCTCGTCTCTCTTCCATTGTCGCTAAATTCGTGTTTGAGAAGGCGCACTTTGTTAGAGTCACTTTTTCTGAACAGGACTAGATACTCTTTAATCGATATGCGACGTTTGGTCATATACGCAACAGCCTGGTTGATGGCAAGGGGTAAATAATCCAACTCCTCGAGAAGGTCACGACGATCTTCAGAGGTGCTGCGGCTGATCAGATCTTTGCCCAACAGATGTTGAGCTTCCTCTAGGTTCATCGACGTGATCATTATTGGATCATGATCTTGCGTAAGGTCCACGCCAATGTCTCGGTTCCTGGATGTGTAGAGCACAGAACCATTCGCGCTCTGTGGGACATAATCAATCAACGGTTTGCCATGGATCTCTATCTTCAAGAAAGTCTCGATGCTGTCCACGTTGTCTATAATCATAAGCCATTCGAGCTTGTAGTGATTCTCGAGCCAATCCGTGACAAGCTGCATCAAATTCTTCTCCGTATCCTCACGTCCAGGTACATCACAGCATGTGGCGATTTTGTTGTAACTTTGCTCAAAATTGACACCAGCGCTCGTATAGACCCAGAAGATCGAGGCTTGGGGCGATCTTTCTCGAAAGCGAAATGAGTATTCGAGAGCAATTTGAGATTTCCTATCGCCAAGGTCAGCAAATCGTAGTCAAGACGTTTCAGTAGCGTCAAGAAATGTCATTCGATCTCCTCCAAATGGATGAACAGGATCAGGCGGAAGAAGAAAGCCTTATGCTTACCCAACACCCCCAAGCCCGCACAGAGCAACGCTACGCTGCCCGGAGCTGAACTTGCGATCAATGTCGTCAAGGAACTCGACCCTCCCCACAAAATTATGGTTACGAGTGAATGGGAGGATCGTTATTGGAACATCAGGTTCTCGCATGACAGTAGACTTTGCGGCAACTTCGAGACAGAGGCTTTCCAACTGCTTCACGATATCCTCGTGGTTGCGGTCATTCTTGATCCTGTTCGGGGTAAGCTTATATTCTATTCCGCAGATCCGCTAGAAAAGGTAGAGATCTTACGCCATTCGGAGCTGATGCTGCAAGCTCACCAAATCCAGAAGCCTATCTAAGCTCCTTTGAAGATCCTCGATTTCATCATCTGCATGAACGGATTTCAATGCCTTCAAAACCCTCTCCGCCTTCTTCGCCCCTTTCTGTAGATGCGAAGTGCCAGGCTTGCTGTTCTTTACCGTAAACCTCTTTAACCGCTCGTCCAAGTCCTTCGTTCGAGCTGTACATGCCTCGAGTGTTTTCTTGTCATTTTCCACCGCAGTAAGGCCCTCTTGATCAAGTGCTTTGAGAGTTTCCGCGGTAGATGACAACCGATTGGCAAGAGTTTCGAGCTTCCTGGGGACTTCCCCTGCCGCTGTGGTGCCTAAGGAGAGTTGGTCGATACGCTCGTAAAGCGTGATAGCAAAATCGATGAACTGGAAGACGTTGCCAGCAAAACTGACGGCAGCGAGGCCTTCCAAGCCGGACATTTTTGGATGGAGAGTGCTAATAGAAGTAGTAAATGGCAAGGACTGAAGGAGCGGGGTACGAGGCTGCGAATTTCGATATCCTGCATGATGCGGTCATAACGACAACGACTGAACAATATTCGCCTGGCTATCATGGAGACAGAGCAGCCAACGAAACGCTCCCGGCTGTCCTGTCTCCAAGAACATCTTGATATAAAGGCTGCTTTAGCATTCTATGGCTAACAGGCTTTGCTTGCGCCGATCGAGAGTAACCTGATACTCTGCTCTCACGCCATATCTGTCGCTACTCTTATATCATGAGCCGTCAGAACTCATGGACTGATGAACAAAAGTTCGGAATCCCTGGTCATAAGGCTAGCCTTATAAGGACAAGTCTGGTTCCCATGCCAACAGTGGGCCTTACGGTAGTTTCATGGCGGTAAATACCTTAGAGACACTTGGCCGTCGGAAGCCGTATGTATACTCGTTCGACACCAGCGAGACCAGCAGGTGGCTCTTTACTCGATTTCGCCTCTTTCAGAGCCATAGCATTCTTCCGTAGCCACAGTCTGCTCACACTTCAATCTCCAGCCCGTTTGACGTGGATGGTAATTAGGAAATTCTTAAGTTAATCGATGTTGCTCACAGTTCGAATCGACTAATAACTGTACTCTAAGCCATCTGTACAGTGAACCCACTTGGAGCGACGCGGCATGGATATCATAGAAGGCTGCTTCACATCTTGTACCTGACAAAACAAGCTGGAGCGCCTTCGCCGTCCCTATGTGCCTTAGTGCACGAAAAATAGACTATTTGGATCCTCCCGAGCCTCTCACACCAACAACGCCAGTACAGCCCATTGACATCACCGCCTATGCAAACCACGGTCTTCTACCAATCATACGATACGTCCTCTTCTGATTCGGCTGCGAATTCGAACTCCCCAACGGGATCGGTATCTGACCGGTCGATGCTGGCCACGTCGAATTCGCAACCGGTCTACTGATCTCCAAGAGCTCGCCGAACCCGCTCAAGCTCATCGAGTCGAGCGGATCGCCCGTGATCTTGTCAGCCCAGAAAACGTAGATCTGCCCGGGAAGGCCCTGGACGATGTTGTTTGATGCTGCTAGAGGTCGGTAGAGCGAGACTTCGCCAGCTTGATTGGTGGCGAGGTTTGGGCTGGCGACGAGAGGCGAGCTGAGGTTGTAGGCTTCTTGATTGTTGATTGATCCCGGGGTACCGGTGATGACTAGTTCGTGGATGGTGGGTGGAGCGGTTTGGCTAGCGCTGCTGTAATGGTAGACGTAGGTTGATCCGTTCTGCGATATGGCGGCGATGTCGGCATTGTTGTAATCGAGCAAATTTGGAAAGCTGATGCCTAGAATGCCGACGTCAATTCTGATCATGATGAATTTTCATAGTCGTGGTGCATACCATTCTTGTACGTCCCAGTGGGATCCAAGAGGGACATCCAGGCCTCTTGCAAGGTGTTGTTGCCGGAAGAAAAGAATAGCCTTAAGATTTGCGTGCTTTCATCGATAGTCGCCGCCAAGTGGGAATTTGGCCACGGATTGTGCAACTTTGCCCCATCTGCCCATGAATCGTTACTCTGAGTCCAGATCAATTCTTGCACATAGGCTGCTCCGGTCAAATTCTCCGCATGGTAATAGAGCCGCAGACCCGGTCCCGTGTTGAAGTTCTCCGAATAGACTGCTGCCATTCGATAGCCGTCCCAGTCATTCTTTGGGTCCTGAGTCACTGAAGGCAAGGAAAGGTTCGCCACGGCGGCGATGTTCATATTGTTCAAAGTACCAGGCTCCCAGTAAGCCGTGCTGGAAAAGACTTTTCTTTTTTCTTGCAACAGTCCATTCAATCCTACATAAAAAATGCTTCCCTAGGACTTCGTTACGCCTCATGCATTGGCAAGGAGCTCAAGTTGGTCTTACCTGCTGATTCGAACCGTTGAGGTAAGTCACCGTTGCAAGCCCCGTGTTGTTGATCGCATCGGTGAAGATAGGCCTAGCCTTCTGTTAGTGGGACATTTCGTACATTGCTCTTCTTCAATCTTACAGAGCGCTTTGCCAAGACATCAAGCCATTAGAGACGGCTTCCTTGATGTTTCCAAGGGCTGATTGATAATATATCCGGAAAGCTTGTTGGCTTTCAGCACTGGAACCGCCTTGGTTATAAGATATCACATTTAGTGGTGACCCTGCCACGATATCTCCTTGCCTAGCGCATGACTATGTCAGTCACCCATTTTCTACCAGCTCTGAATGTGAACCTACTGCAAATGCAACGACGTGGTGTTATTTGCACTGTGGGTCGTATCATTTGTCGAAACATTGGATGCCGGCTGCCCAGACGAAGAAGATCTCCCACTGCGTGATTGCAGTCCGCCTACTACTCCGCTAATGACAGCTGCAGCAAGGACGATGGCCAGGATGAGGCCTAGAAGCTCCCAGAAATGCTTCTGTCGCAGACCGCACGTTCTCTTCTCTGGTGGTGGAGGGGAGCCCAGGCCCTCATCCATCTCCTTGGGGCCCATCGGAGACATCGGGCTTAGTGTCCCTTCTGGAGAAGTTGGAATACCCATAGGGATACCCACAGGGACTCCTGCGTGTGCCTGCTTCTCGTTGAGATAGAACCCATGGTGGTTGAAATCATCGTCGAGCAAGCCTTGGGGTTTTGAGTCGTCCAAATGCGGATCTCGATTATCTCTGGCTCTTGTGTCGAGTTGCAGACCTTCGTAGTCTACCTTGTCGATTGGCGACTAACTCGGATGTCAGTTTTCTTAAGCAGTGCATGCGCAGTAGATGGATCACCTTCTCCTTGTTGACTGACGAGCGAGTTGTCATCGTGACTAGTTGCGCCAATCATCCAGGACTCAGAGGCGACTTGGATTCGAGTACGCCAGCCACGTGAGAGTAGCATTGAGAGATGCGCCGGAGGGCTTGCTTTAAGGATCAAATTCTCCGAGACACAAAGGACACTACTACTACTAATAGTGCGATGCGTTGCGTCGTCACACGCTAGATCCAACAACATGAAGGGATACATGCGCACAAAGGAGGCAAAGCTCTGCGGAAATCTTCTTACCTTTCCTTGGCGTTTGGGAATCCGATGAAGATTTAGCTGATCAGTCTTTGGTCAGGCCTGGGTAGGCTCTCTCCCCCAGGTTAAGGCGCGGCCAGTTCTTGGAGAGAGCCTGCCAGTAATGGATGGATGGATGCGGCTTGCCGTTCAAACGTTTCAGAATGACGCACGGTCTACCCCAATCACAGGGCGTAGAAACTTCTGGGACACCGACATTCACGGAATAGTCGGCGTTGAGATTGAAGAACGCCAGGCCACACGCCAAGGAGCTTGCCAATCGATCGTTTGACCACAATGTGAAGTCACACTCTACGAACGCCCAGGCCTGCTTGGTAAAACGGACCGTAGTAGGCCCATGATCGGAAAAGCATCTGATTGGAGGAGTATCGTGCTACGGAGAATTCGTGATGCAAGTCCCCACGTTGTGGTCTGATCATTTTCCTTGGATTTGGCGCTGGTTCGGAGTTCGTGCTGGAAGCGGAGATCTAATGGTGGTGCGCCATGTTTCGCCATTTGAGCGCCTGTCGCTTATATGTTAGACCATGCTAGTTTCCCCCAGAATGCTCTCGACCACACAATTCACTTGCCGCGTTTTGAGTCAGAACCCATAAAGGATCAAGCAGCACAAGTAAAAATCAACCGAGGGCTTGCGATAGGTCATTGGTCAGGCACAGTCAAACGAGATTTTGAAACACACAATTGGTGGCTCTCAAGCAGATTTTGTGTTCGACGTTGCATTGGGGAAGCTTGGCAAAATTGGAGCAGAATTTGTAGTGTGGCTGAAATGCTTCCAGCATACCTCACAGCGGTGCTCACACCATCTTCGCATCTAAAAATTTCAAGTTCGTGACTGTGAGCGCCCGGCAATAGCAGATAGTGCGCGATCGATGCACGTCTAGATCTATCAGAAATCCTCGAATGAATCCCCAGAGATCTTTGAAACGTTAAGATCGACCCGAGTCGTATATACTGCAACTTCGCGAATAGCCGTCAAGCTTGATGCTGGGAGGAGAGGAAATTATACTACGAAAAGTAGAAAGCTGTAACACATGTTTTCGTCCACCAACTTGCTACTGTCCAATTCAGGTTCGTGTCATGAAAGCCGCTGTCCCCATGTTTTCCTTTCGGAGTCCGTGGACTTAGACATATGTCCTTTTTCTTCGTTCGAAAACACGGGACATGGCGGAATCAATTATCACAAAAACAACAAAAAGAAATCCCAACTTTGCAGGATATATATTCAGCATGAGACATCCAGTGTTTGGCAAGTTGCTCGACGGGTAGTACGCTATTGTTGCTTGTCACTCGCATTCCCATTCATTCCCACCAAACCGTATTGGACAGCGGTGAAACTTCCCCAACACATCAGTCCTCTTACTCGTATCATTTGAAGGTCTACTCTTACGCTGCAGTAGCTGTGGATACATCCATCAGCCTTGCATTTGTTACCAATTTCAGGCTGACCGAGAAGCCAGCGGTGAATATTCCGATAATAATCATGCGTACTGGAGTAATAAAATACAGGACAATGATGGAAGCAACAGGTGTGAAGAGGACAGGGCAGTTCCCACAAGTGCTGTTACGCGAGAAACGCCAGCTTGGGAACAGGAGACTGTGTTGGCTGACCAGTCTGCATAGTCGGGCTGCTATTCATCTCTAGCTGAGGACAATCTATAGGGAAAAAATTCTAATACTCTTCAAAACCTACCAACGACTCGATGATACGCATGCACCATAGTGTCTGCTAACCACCGGGTGAACGGATCATCGGCGTGCCATGCACGCAAAGCAATCAGATCTGCGGAGTCAGGCTTGGACCATATGTCGCTATCCCGGCGATGGGGATTTTCTGATCCTACGGAAGTGTTGTGGACACGCGAGCAATATCTGGAGCATGTTTGATTAGAGAGAAAGACCAGGCTGATTACGAAGAGGCCCGTATTCAATGCCACCATAGGTTACGGCAAGGAGAAATCGTCCTTACCATTGCGATCGATCATCAACCTCTTGGACGACAAATGCAGCGTGTGGTGATCAACCTCAACGAAGATAGTCCTCCGGATATCCTCCCGGCACACTTGCAATTGTAAACCTTCGACGGACCGAACTGACAGCTTTGCAGAGCTCACGCGCCCAGGCCACAGTGTCAAACATAGACTCGGAAGGGAATGATGTAAATCAGCCCCGTGGATCGTCGAAATTGCTTACAAATTTGACATAGTCCAGCCAAGTTATGAACATCGAAGATGCAAATTCCGACTTCATGAATGCCGTCGCCCACATAGACACTGAATGTGATTTTGGGAATCGGCTTTCATTGGCGCTTGTTGAAGACTTGGGTCAAGCCGGAAAGATTTCCCAAATTGATGACGCACCGAGCATCTGGCAATGCCGTCAAAGCCTTCTCTTCTTGGTGGCACTGTGTCCCCCCTGTGAAAATCCCCCCTGTGAAAATGGAGTCCCCGTGGCACCAAAGTGAACCAAAAATCTGTTCACATTCTGCCCACAGATCATTGGAATGTCCTCATCGGCGCCAAAACTATCAAAGCTATGGAGCTCGTCAGTCTTAACCAGTCCGCCTTCTTGCTGCCCATGATAGCACACAAAAAGCAGATTGCTTATCAGTCGCCCTCCCGCCTTCCAGCTCAACTGCTTCTAAATGGACAAAAGTAAGGATGGGGTGGGGTAGAGGAGGGGGTCACGATCGCTTTACTTGAGGAACAGCAGCGACAAGACAAGGGGCAGCGCTCGAAGCTCAAAGACAGGCCTTCGAGCAGGGACAACAACAGAGCAATGGCCAATCAAGTCCAGCACAGAGCCAGCAGCCAAAGAAACCCTGACCGCTGCCAAAATTCTCGCCATCAACCCTCGTTACTACCCCTTTCTCAGCCGCAAGTGCCGCGAACGTTACACCACCCGAGAATGACTGCTGTAAGGTCAATAGATGCTTTATCTCAAAGGATGATTGATGTTCAGAAGACGGATGATTTGATTCTTGCGCTGAAGAGGGAACGGGCGTTTGTTGGGACCGTATGATGCCCGGTATCAAGGAGGTTTATGATAACCTGGTTACAAAAACAGGCAGACAAAAAGGGGTTAGCAAGAATTCATTCACCCAAATGTTGGTATCTTCATACCTAGACAATTACACTATATTTTCAGACTGCAGAATTGCACAATCAAGTCTCCCTGCTCCCCAGTTGCTCTTTGGCTCCCTTTCAGGACATCCTCGTGTTGAAGCTGATGTAGGCAAGGGTGAATCGATCTGGACTAAACGACCAAGGCTTGAGTAACGACGTAAACAAAAAATCTTCCAAGGCAAAAAATACTCCGGCACCCAGGACAAGGGTAACAAGATTCACTACACAAGTAACACAAGTGCGCGTCTACCTCAGACCATACCCAAGTCAGTCTCTCCATCACGGAAACCCGGATAGTACACCCGTCCACGATGTCACAGAAGAGGAAAGAGATGGGCTCAAAGCCAGGTAAAGAATAGGGTTCGAAAACAAGCTCTTCGGGGTGTTGTTACCACTTGTGGGTATGTTGACGAGTTTTTCCACTGAGGCAGACTACGAGCAATAAAGCGCCAGGCTTCTTTTGAGCCCTTCAGAAGAAGTTAGCCAGTAACGCGTCGGTGACGGGCATCGTCATGGCTGTCGAAACGCGATTGAATTTGAAAGGAGAGGATGTTTTGAGGGCCGTGACAACCGGAGTGAAGTATTTATTAACTGTGAGGTCCGCCCAAGATTGCCGTTGTTGATGCTGAAAATTTTCATAAGCCAAGGTGAAAGTACCAAGAAGAATAGAACACCTGGAATGGTTTGCTGGTTAACCGCAATAGGGTGGGTGGGGGCGACGCCATCCTAGCGGGCACACCAGTTGAAGGATATTGTGTCAGGCGAAATTGTGAAACACGTTGCATGGGGGGACCTTGGCAAACACTGAAACGAGACTTGAAATGTGGCTGGAGTATTTTGGAGTATTTCAAAGCGTACATGTGCTGGCTTCGACTCGTTTCTCGCACCATCTTCGCGTTTGATAATCCCAGCTGTGGGTGTGGAATACACAGCGTCAGGATATCTAGCATAGAGAGTGATCGATGCACGTTCATGGTTACCGGAGATCAGAAAGCAAACCCTGGCGATATCTCTAAAACGTCCGGCGCACTCAAGTCTCTGTCAGAGCTCTTGGAGTGTCCCTTTGATCGAGTACCGGAAAACCCAGCAGCGTCCACAAGCCGGGGTCGTGGTTATGTTTTATAAAGGTTTTAAAGCTATCTATCTTAATTATAGCTTACTTCTTAATTAATAATAATAATTCTATAATAATTATAGAAGCTTTATACTTATAAGTCTTAATATTTATATATATTACTATCTATTATTTAAGTTTAAAACAAAAAAATCTTAAATTAGAGATATTAAATTAATTAAAAAAAAAAAAAATTATTTTAATAAAAATATAAAAAAATTTTATTTTTAATTTATATTTTTATTATAAAAATAAAATATATTTTTTTTAAAAAAAAAAAAATAAAAAAAAAAAAAAATATATATATAAAATATAAAAAATAATTATAAAAAAAAAAAAAAAAATAAAAAAAAAAATTTTTTTTTTTATATTTTAAAAAAAAAAAATTAAAAAAAATAAAAAATAAAAAAAAAAAAATAAATAATAAAAAAAAAAAAAAAAAAAAAAAAAAAAAAAAAATTATATTTTTTTTTTTTTTTTAATAAAAATAAATAAAAAAAAAAAAAAA